TGTGTGTGTGTGTGTGTGTGTGTGTGTGTGTGTGTGTGTGTGTGTGTAAGATGAGCATCTGGAATCATTTGCTGAAAGTTTCCCACAACGGTCACTTAACAGAGAGAGAGGGATTTTGTTTTCTCACCGAGGCTGCTCCTGTTACATTCTAATAGCAAAGCTGACCCCAGAGCAGTTTCTAGAGAGTTCCGCCTCACTCCCCTCGGCTCTCTGTTTGTGAAGGGAAAGACTTTCGGGTTCTGACACCAATGGCATAGTAGAACTAGAGAAGAGCCGTAAAGTTTATTTTGATGCCACTGTCTTTGATAGAGTGATTGTTCTCAAGACTTTTGGTAAAGCTGAACGTGCACAAATTTGTTTTTTTGTTTACATCATCATCATCATCATCATCATCATCATCATAACTGTCATCAATGACCGCTACTTTGCCATTTGGTTGATAGAACACAAACTGGGCTGGCTCCAGCAGTGTAGAGCTCTCTCAAAGCAGCTGACTGTGCAATACCGTTTCATTTTTCAATAAATGCAGAGATCCAAGTCATAAAGGTTTTGTCCTAAAGCCATCTACCCAAGTGGTAACTAATGGACTATGCTGCATAGATTTAGTCTCTAAACTGACACTATAAACTCATAACCCATTGAAGTTCAAGGGACCGCATGTTCTGTTTTTTCTTTCTGTTTTTTTAACATGCAAATGATCATGAATTTGCCATTTTAAGGTTTAGCATTTTAAGGGTAGTCTGTGTAATTGTTACCAATTATTTGTAATTGTTGAATCATATTTGTAAGGGCAAAACATGAATCATCTTGTTTTATGTATTAATAAGTACATGTGTTTTTTTCATGTTACATGCTTGCCTGTTTAGTTTAGGTTGCACCAAATATATTGTCGAGCATACCAACAAACGTTTCCTTGATAAGGAATTTGGATTTCACACTTGCGCGGGATTTACCTAAAACCACCATACTGTACCACACTTGTCATTATTGGGAAAATCTATGATAAGAAATCAGCATCCAGCGTCTCATGTATTCACACAAGATATAACCACAGTCCTAGATCACCTTCCTTTTTGTGTGCAGTCTGACTTGTTAGGAGAGCCACAAAGTGTAACAGCCTTACAATACTGGAGCCAACAATCGCACGTTTCCAACTGTTTTTCTTCCCCTCCTATTCTGCAGGACGTCCCACCGTTTTGACTCTGAATGGACTTCAGCATGTCAGCACTGGTGCACACGGTCCTCCTTCAGAAATCTCCTCTTGTGCTCTTAATCTGTCTTGATCCCTATCTACCTCTAATGTGTGATCTGTGACATCATTCCACTGTTTCATCTGATCGCTGACTTTTTCTTTTTTTTTTTGTATTGTTGCCTTAATTCCTGCTATTGATACACGTGGCAAACAAATTTGATATTATTGGCTGATGTGCTGGTGATCCAACATAGCAAAGGGTGTGGATGGATAAAGCGAGAAAGTACACCAAAAAAGTTGATGTAAGCTACCTCAATGCCTGTCTGAGTGATTGGGATTGACATATTTGTTCACAAAATAAGACTTGAAATAATTTCGTCCTTATAGTCGCATGTAAAATATCTGCAGATCTAGTTTAGTTACATCTCACTTATAAACTTATTAGAAATCACGCTGATGTTCTACTTATTTTTTTTATAGAGAGACAGAGTTATGTCGGATGCACGTGCCTGGTATGATTACATCACTAATTAAACTTTGGGCTCGTTCACACGCAAATGGGAATTTGGGATACGTCACGTCAACGTCTCGTTTCTATTGGTTCGTTGCTACGTTGATTGGTACGAGGAGCCGGCTGATGACTATTTAGATAGAGAGAGATGGAGGGTGATCGAAACACACGGAGGATGGACTTGGTCCGTAATGCAAGCATCTGTAGGTAAGCGGAGGCTGGTTGTATGATCGTCAATGAAAGTGCACAAATAACGGGTTGCTCTGTAGTAGTCGCTCCGTCTCTGATCTTGAGAAACGTTACTAAGATAATTGTCCATGAGTTCTAACGACAAGCTGAGCTACTTTTAAGCGCTGTGCTGCAGTAGAAGGACTGGTGAAAAAGTGACTTTTCCCGATTTCAATTTTGTTAATAAAACAAGAAAAGTGTACTTTTTAGTGGTTGTTTTGAGAGTGTTGGTGTGGAGAGTCATTTGAAAATAAACATGGGTGAACAGGTGTAAAGAAAGCAGGTGAGCGTTGCTGACACTTACAATAACACTAAGTTCGTATCAGTTATTGCAACCCCGTGCTTAACTTAATCTATCGCGCACATTTAACATTAAAATCGTGATTAAATGAAACTCTGGACATAACTTACTAAATTAACGGTAACTTGTGTATGTAACGTTAAGTCAAACGGTCGGGTTAACGTTCACGGTTCTGTATTTCTATTTCCAATTCCTAGTCCTAATTAGTTAACGTTACATGCTTATTTTCATGTAATGTTATGCTTTATGTAACTGCTTCTAAATATGTGTTACTGACCGGAGAATAAGAGGATTTCACACAAAATGAAGACTTTAAAGTCAACGTCTCAGCTCTGTGACTTGACCGACTCGGGGCCAGAAAGCAGAGGTCTCAGGTGTTGACACAGGTGAGGCTGTCCTAGCCTCACACTCTGAATAATGAATGATGTCCATTGCCTCAGCCATGTAAGAAACATGCTGCTTTTGACGCTAACGTTACATGGCTGAAGTTCACTCTCTTCCCTTTTCATCACAGGCGTTTCATCAATGGCTCTTGCAGATTGGGTCCAAGATGTAGTTACCGACATGAATGGCCAGCTATACCACAAATATGCAGGTACTTTCAGAAAGGTGGATGCTGGTATGGTGAACGCTGCAGGTACGCTCTTTTTATCCCCACATCCCTCGGTTGTATGTAGTTAAACGAGAGTATATGTCATGCACACGGATTACCTTAGCTCTTGAATATTTCCCACCGCTAGGTATCTCCATGTCCTACCTGAAGTTGTAGCAACTGTTGCAGGTAGAAGAGGTTCAGTGCCTACGGTTTCCTCTAGTGTGGCTTACACTCCACCTGACAGAAGAGGGTCAGAGCCTGCTCTCCTGCAGGCGGACGTGCTGTCCAGGCCGGCGTACAACGGACCACAGTTAGTGGTTAATATCTCAAATCCTCCGCACAACACTGGGCTCCTGGCAGCAGATATTGCTGAGGAACAATCACAAGGTATTGAATGTCTTCATGGATGATGCTGCCTTTGGTTAGCATTTCTCCATACTTATGCTTTTCTTTACAGATACCAACACTCCTCTCACTGCCTCTGGGGAATCGGTCCAGAGTTCAGAAGCTGCTCAAGCATGTGCACGTGAAGGAAGAAATGAGCAGGTTTGCTTGATTATAAGTGTTCGTTATACAGGGCATGTTGGTGAATCAAGCCAAAATTGAACCCAGGAGGCTGTTGCTGACTTTAAAGTTTCTGTGTCCAGGAGACTTCCAATGAGACAATAGAGGACGGTGCAGCTGCTGCGGCCTTTAGTACCCGAGGGAATATGGAGGAAATGGACGCCTTCCTCCGGAGTCAAAATGTGACCTGTGGCATCTGCATGGACAAGGTGTATGAAAAGACGGATCCAAGAAACCATGTTTTTGGAATCTTGCCCAACTGCAGTCACTCCTTCTGTTTACAATGCATCATGACCTGGAGGAAAACGAAAGACCTCGGGCCGGATGTGGTAAAGTAGGTTCAAGTCAAATATTTGAATATTTAAATGCATCTGACAATGCGTGTAAAGGATTTGACTTGACATCAGTGTTTCAATGATGATTCCCAAGGAGCTGCCCACAGTGTCGAGTGAGATCTGCCTTTTATGTGCCAAACAAACACTGGGTTGAAGGACAAGCAAAGGAAAGCCTAATTGCTGCCTTCAAAGAGAAATTCAGGTATGTTGTGAATATTTTGATAGCAGCACTAAACACTACAGCTGGGCCGAAGGTCTAACCTGTTCTTCATACTGGACATGCCCCTCCAGCTGAACTTCTCATCTGAAGCCAGACACCTTTCTCACTATCCATAACGGGAAGCGATCCTTCTTGAGGTGTAAAGCAACGTGATGATCTGTCTTAACATGTTTTAACAGGAAATGCTTCAAAAGTAGAGAGATGTGACGCATTTCTCGGGGGCCTGTAAGACTCACCCTGATTGGATTCAAATGTATTGTCACGGTAGAACTGCCTATTTAATGTATATATGCATGTGTGCGCACTGAAGGTCCTACATTGGTAATGATTACAAAATGGGACTGCAATATTAAATATGTTAAGCCAACTTGCCTTTTTCCATGCAGTTTTGCCTTTTTAGTATTTGAAGTTCTAGCCAATGCTGATCTTGCAGTTTGTTGTTTTGAGAAATGCCCACATGCAACTAAAACTCCTTCCTGTTTGGTCTTGTCTCATGACTCTAGTAAGAAAAGATGCAATTACTACACCCGCTACAGATGCTGTCCCTTCAAGACGGAGTGCCTTTATCGGCATGACAAACATGCTCCTCACGGGTCATTTCCAGTAAATATAATCCCTGTTCTGTTATCCAGTTCTCACCACCACTGGTATGGGCGAGCTATGCGTTTACTCTTTTACATTTATTTCTTGCTCAACAGTATTACACAGAAGATGAAGACTACGATGGTGTAGATTTAATTAATCTTTTCGTAGCCATGACCGTTCTCAGGGACCACAACGCTGGTGGTGATGATGATGAAGACGACGGCTTTCCTTTTTACCTATCTGAAGAGTATGGTTTCTGAGCCTTTTCAATCTCTTCAGTGCCTGAAACCACTGAATGGGGTCTTAGTTATTCAATTGCCCCCTGAAGAATACATGGCTGTGTTTTGACCCATCTGTCAGTATTGAAATCTTCTCTTGAGAACTGATCAAGATTCAGGATGACAACCCTGCCCCATTGAGGGCCCTGTGTTAGTTTTTAATTACAGTCGCACTGCAGCAGGTGATTTTACTGACTAGCAGTAAGCACAACCAGAGAGGAACTAACTTGTGAAATCACCTGCTACAGTTTGTTAGGTAATGAGTAGGTGTACTCTTGGCTCTCTGTGGCACATGGTTATTTGCCCCTGTAATAGATGTGAGCGTCCCAGATGTGATGCGTCTAATGATATTGTGGCCTGCTAGTTTGGATTTATTTATGTCCTGTGGCCATAGTGCTTCCAACATGTTGCAAATTGTTAATTTTCCCATGACCTCAAATTAATAGGAGTGCTCTATTCTAACTTCTCTCCTAGCAATTTGCACCATTTTGATATTTTTAAAGTGTGGATTGTAGTTTTAATTGTCTAGATAAAAATATATGCTGTACCCCTTCTTGCTAATGTCCCCTACTGATAACTCGAGTCATGTGACCCTTTTTTTTTTCCCCTTAGATTTGGCAAGAATATGAAATGTAAGTTTTTATTTATTTTTAAACAAGCTGTACTTGTACACAGAAAATAAAAAATTGCTTCACAAGTTTTCTCACTGAAAAGGTTTGTCGTGCTTTTTTTATTTTTTTTTTAAATTTACGTTTTGCAGGTATAAATGGGTGAGATTTGCGTTTGAGAGGCTGGAACCTGTTGCTTCTGAGTTTCACCACTAGGTGGAAGTCGGAGCACAAACTTCGTGACATGACACTCGCGAAGAAGACATGTCAACAGAACCGGCGGGGTGGCTGCTTGGCAGTGCGGGCGCTGTGTAAAAGTTCACCCGGCAGTATGTTTGTGAGTCGGTTTGACGGGCAGTCTAAGCTGCTGGTTCGGTCGCTTCTGTGTGGAACCTCCGGTGCTCTCAGAGCTCTGGACGTCTTCCACAGGCAGCAGCGTGTCAACCCGGACATGTCCCTGTGTCCCTTCATGGAAACGCTATGCCAAGACGAAGTAACGTGTCCCCAGACTGAAGACCAGCCGCTAACTGTGTGAGTAACCGCACCAGGCTTCTGTCAAATACGTGTAACGTCTGTTCGGAAGTAAAAGAGGGGATAGAAACTGCTAACAAGTGCGTTTCTCTCTGCAGACATTTTCACTTGTCATAGCACGCAAATGTCAAAATATAATTCCACTACATTATTAGAATTAGTACTTGTGTCCTACCACTGTGAGCCTGTATGCACTGGGAACAAGTAAATAAATTAGTTTGAGAAGTCGTGCTTGGATCCTCATAAGTGGCAACCTAAGAGAAATGGTGCACATCTACCGTATTACGTCACATCCCTATGCCTCACACCAATTCTTTCCCCCTCACCTGTTCTAGTGAACCCCTGGTATGCCTGTTCCCAGCATTATTTAAACACAACCTGCTCTCCTTCGTCTATCTGGTCCACTCGGTTCTTCCTCGGCCCGCTGTGCGTCGTCTCCTTGAATGCCTCACCCAGGACCCTCGTCCGAGCCCCTGGGTCATCGCTCTGGTTAGACAGCTGGAGAGAGCCACTGGGACCCACGACGACCCCCCTCTGTACACTCCACTGTGCAGCCAGAGACTCGAGGAGCTGTCCCAGCGTTTGGTTGGTTTTGGTGAGACCGGAGGATGGGCCGCCTGCCTCAGCGGTCCAACGGTAGAATCTGATTCTCAAAATGCGTCTGGTTCATCAGTGCTGAGGACACAATGGAAAAGAAAGGGCCGCTTTGTCACTCTGGACTCAGATTGTGAGGAAACGGGACAGCGGAGTAAAAGGATGAAGATGGATGTCTCTGGTGGTGAATGTTGCGATGTTGATGAATGGAGCACAAAAGAGGAGACATCGGGAAGGTCGGAAAGTGCTGCTCGAGCAGAAACGCTTGGTGAAGAACTGCAGCCAGCACCAGACGGTCCATGTGACGCTCTGCCTGAACATATAAAGGTAGAGACCATACTTCTATCAGCAGGCGTCATCTGTCCAGTCTTCACCGAAATGTACATCATTTACATTCTTTATTCAATTAAATGATAGGAGGCCCTCCTGATAACACCTTTCCAAGTGATCAAATCAAGTGTACTCACCCAGGTCACAGTTTTAGTAGAAGTACAAAAACCTTTTTCTTTTTTTTAGGTCTCTGTTCTTCAAATAAAAGAATTACTGGAAAATCAGACAGAGGTAAGAATATCTTTCTTCTAGCCATCACAGCCTGAGAGTGACATTTACTTTTCCTATAATAATTGTCTGTTTTGCAGTGGGACCAGATCTCAATGGAGGTGTTCAAAGTATTAAACGACTGTGACCCCGGCCAAGTATGTCCTCAAAGTTCTTTAGCAGACTTTTTGTCAATGTTTAACTCCTGCATTAATGCGTCTGTATTGTAAACTGAACTATAAAGGTGATGAGACAAATTATTGGGTACATCTTTTAATGCACTGACACACAACACCAATAAAGGCTCAGAAATTGTGATTGAGTCGACTAATAATTGAACATAAGTTTCACAACGGTAGTTGGTATTACATTGTACAGACGTCTCTGAATGTGTAGCATCTGGAATATAAGAAATGGACTATAAACTAACAGCGTTTGTTCCACTGGTGACTTTAGCTTGTTGTGCTTTACAGCGACACTCAACACGATCTTTTGCTTGCTGATAAGCGGTGAAAGGTCTAATTTCACATCTCACCCTCTCCTGTTTAGGTGGAGGTGTTCTGCAGCATGCTGAGTTTTCCTGACTTGCCGGAGCAAACTCTGCCTAACCTGTGCAGCAGTATTTTGACTCCTGCTCTTGACTTCAGCTACAGCACGGCAGCAACACTCATCAGGAGCCTCCTGCTGCAGAAGGTCCATCACTGGATATGCAAAGTATGGAAACTGTGCTGCTGCGTTTTGAGACTGACGGGATGTCATTTTTACCGCAGGTCCTCTCCCTGTCGGAACCGGCCTCCAGATGTTTAGTCACTGCAGTGACGTCGCTGTGTAGCCGCTATCCCAGACCAGCGTGCCACGCTCTGATCGGACCAGTTCTAGAGGAAAAGAACATGGGTGAGGAAAGGGTTGTTAGCATTGCCTGTTGCAGGGGGCTCAGAGTCGGTAAGTTGCAGAGCAGCTGGCATGGATTCAGTGTCCTGGTTGAAGTAGAAACAGAACAGATGCTTTGAAGGTATGACCTTGTTCCTCACCTCTTGGCCCGAACATCAACTGATCCTCTGTTTTGAACTTTGCTTTGTTTTCAGGGAACTCGCAGGCTGAGCTGCTGAACAGACTGATAGAAGGCTGTCTGGATTCCCATTACAGACTGCTGGTGCTTCAGTAAGATAAAACATGTAACTGTTTTTACAGCAGTAACAAGTCAAAGAAGCACAACACAAGAACAGACTTATGGTTATTGAGTGTTTATGCAGTCTTTTTACCCCCCCAGAATGACATTCAAAATATCTTGGGGTGAGGCTGTGCTCTCCGTTATCCACAGCGTGCTGGACTCTAAGGTAAGATGAACGGTTGTTTATTAATGGTGAAAGTGCTGCAAGGCCATGTAGTCCTAATATTCATTGTTATTGAGTTGCCTGTTTTTCTCTTTCGTTTCTTCAGCCTGACTTCAGTGAAGAACTGTTCACACAGTTCAGCGAACAGCTCCTCAGCCAGGGTCCTCAGTTCACCAAGTCTGTGAAGTTTGCAAAAATGATGCTAACGGTCCTCACCAAATATAACCGTCATGTAAGTTTGTACATGATGTCATGCATAATGGCAGAGCAGTGGATGAAATGGTGTTTGTAACCTTTCTGTGTATCAATGTTTCTCCAGGTGACGGCTGCTCACAAACACTCCCTGCAAGGTTGCCTGATGGTAAATGAGACCTTCCTGAAAAAGTCTCTGCAAGCTGCTTTGAAAAGAATCACACCCGCGTGAATTTTCTTCCGTCGTAATGCACGTTAATAAAACTGTTTGAATACGTTCTTGTCCATCTCTTGGCAATATTTACTTGAAAGTGACGCACCTCATTCCACCAGGTTGACACAGAAAAATATCACATTTTTTGAGCGCAACAGTGACTGGTTTGCCTCTAGATTCAGATTTGACTTACAAAATGTGATCTTGTAAAATAAGATGCAGTATTATATATTATGCTGTGATTAGAATTATCTTCACCTCGACCATCTTCAACACTAATCTCCTGGTTGTATGTTAAGGCATCTGTATTATGTAATAATACAACACTGTTGAAGGCTATTCTGCTGCATGAATACTTTTAATTTTAGTACTTGAAGTAAACTGGTTTGCTTCTGTAGGATTTTTAATACAGGACTCTACCTTGAAATTAAGTGTTTTTATTTTGAGGTATTTCTAGTTTTACTTTCTAACTTGTTCATGTGTTTATTTGTCTTTTTTGTATTAACATTTTTTTTAAATAAATGAATCCCATGAAAATCAATGCCCACAACCAAACTTAAACATACACACACAACGGGGGGGAATTCAAGTAACTGAGAAAAGTTAATCTTAACCACGTGCCAAAGACACAAAAGAAATGGGAGTAAACTGCCAAAGCAGTCAAATTGAGTCCAGGTATTGCAAAAAGGGACCCCAAGATTCTTCCCATTCCTTTTCATGCTTATATTTCAAGTAGATTAGACTGCTGTAATGCTCACTTCACAGATATTCAAAAACAATCTATTGAAAAGCTATTAATTCTGAATTCAGCTGCCAGGTTTGAACAAGAAAGAGCGCATTGCACCAGTTTGAACCTTCACTGGCTCCCAGTGTCCTATTGGATTGATTTTAACATTCTTATGTTTGTTTACGAGGATCCCTGTGGTTTGGGAAGCGCCTACATTACTAATTCTTTGTTTTATAATCATTTGCATCCTCTTAGATCTTTTAAAATACAAACTATCACAAATAAAATCACTAGCTCTGCCTTTTTTAACTCTTTACCATGGAATTACCGACCCAAGGATTTAAGTTGTGAACATCTCTAAACGACAATTGTAGAATGCATTTATTCAACATTGCCTTTTTTTAAAGTTTGACTTTTATTTTGTTTTATTCTCATCTTTTATGTTTTGTTTTTAGCATGCCTGTTCTTGCTATTTGCTGCCTGTTTTTTGTTCTTTTGATTGCTTGTTTTTTTGCACATTTGTATTTGTTTGCCTTTCTTTATTTATTCACTTGTTTCTTCACTTTATTGTAAAGCACTTTGAATTACGCCACCTGCATGAAAGGTGTCTTATGAAAAGTTATCTCCTTTTTGTCAATTTATTTTGTTGAGCACAGCACACATCGGCATCATTTTGATGTAATATTATTCACAGAGCAAATATGTATTAAAGAAAGGATTACAGATATAACAAACAACAGTTAGATATTATACAAAGTCATTCTTTTTAAAGGGGAAACTAATGAACATGTCTTAGATTGTTTTCATGCTAGGCTATTTTTTAGGGTTTTTTTAGGTGAACTAATAAAAGAAAGAAAAATATATCATACTCATGGCAAAGATTGATGTATCTCTCACTTTTAACAATTCTAATTTCTCTGCAGATACAACTTACATACCGAACTTGATTAATAAAAGTAATCAATATAAGTATCTCACTATCCTAATATTGAAAACTTGAAACTCGAAAGTAAGGAATTGGCTAAAACTATGTTATTTAGATATTTCAAATTAGTAGACCCTGAGGATTTTCGTTTTTCTTATTCTTCTTTTTTACCTAAATTTAGTTTTTTGTTGTACAATTGAGTTACTATTTTTTAAATTATATCTATACTACGATGTATTTACTGCAACTCTTATAATTAATTAAAACAAACTGGAACATATATAATCCATTTAATAAATGTATTGAATTTTGCCAATAAAGCTGCGGGAAAAAAACTTCTTCGCCGCTTTTTGATGACGTGCACACAATGGCGCCTTTATCTTGCGTAACTTCCCTCTGAACTTCCTTTTCAACGTAGTGAGTCGTGAGGGACGAGCCGCAAAAATGAGGTTAGACTCAGTTTAACTAATAAATGTCAAATAATAAGCTGTTTCCACATTTAAACCGAGCTGCAATACTCGTTTAAGTCTTACGTATTGTTATCGTATGTGTTATTTAGTACATTTATTCAGAATTGGGTGAAGCTAAATGTAACGTACGGAACCGGCTAAGCTGCCGCGATAACGTTAGGTCACCCGATGCAATCCTCCGTCATCCACACGTTTAGGATGTGTTTTAGAAAACAATCATGCATCGGATGTATATATTGACTCTCCCAGAACATATTTATGAGAATATCTTTCAACTTTTCACCTATTTTGTGATTTTGTTGCCGCCATAGATCAACGGAAGTAACTGGGTCTATGGAGGTGTTCCGCTAATATCTGCCTCGATATCTTTTCTGATATTTTTCTTACAGTAAGGTCTCCAGGGATACGTTGTATGAAGCCGTGAAGGAGGTCCTGCAGGGCTCTCTGACCAAGTCAAGGAAGTGAGTCCATGTGTTAAACCTCTTGTGCCTTGAGATAAATGGCGTTAATGGCCGACGATGTTTAACGTTGTCTTTTTTTAGGTTTACGGAGTCTGTGGAGCTGCAGATCAGCTTGAAAAACTATGATCCCCAGAAGGACAAGCGTTTCTCCGGCACCGTCAGGTTCGACCCTTTTCCTGTTTCACCCGACCTTTTCCCTGTGTGCTTCCAGCCCTGTCTGAGGATACAAACAGCCTGTAAATATGGCTATTGGTTGCTGAAATCTTTTTAAAAGTGAAAGCCAAAAGTCCAGACAGGCCAGGGGCAGACATGGAGAAGTACTCTGGGTAGTCTGACTGAGCCGACCCAGCCTTGCTGGTTGGAGGTGAAGCAGACGGACCCCTACCCTGGGTCTTAAAACATGAGGGGAGGCTTTGAGTGGCTGAGCTGCTAAGTTCATGTCCTCAAGCCGACCAATTATTACAAAGAGGTCAGCTGGACACCGGCCACAATGGTGGTATGGGTAAGATTTCTTCTATTACGTAGTAAAATGAGGGAGATGTCATTTGAGGATGGCAGAGTATTTGTTTTTTAGACAAGAGAACTTTTTTCATCCCAAAGATTAATTGGGATAAAAGAAGCTTGTAAACCAGAGCGATGACTTAAAATGAATTGGCCTGTATGGCGTGATGTATGCATTAGAGAAGAGCACGTGTGAGTTTTCATTTAAACCACCGTAATGCGGACTGTGCAGTCTGAACCGTACCCTGCCTTACTTCCAACTGATGCCCTTGTGCTTGGTGTGGGGTTGTGAGCAGCGTCTCTTACCTGCTTTGTAAATCTGCAGGCTGAAGAGTCTCCCCCGGCCCAAGTTCTCCGTGTGCGTCCTGGGAGACCAGCAGCACTGTGACGAAGCCAAAGTCGCTGAGCTGCCGCACATGGACATCGAGGCTCTCAAGAAGCTCAACAAGAACAAGAAGATGGTCAAGAAGCTCGGTACGAAGTTAGCCTTCTCACTCGCAACAACGCCTGATTTGTGATGATTGAAGTCCTGCAGGTTATTTTTTTTTAACGTTGGTGTTTCTCACTCCCTCTCTAGCCAAAAAGTACGATGCCTTCCTGGCCTCTGAGTCTCTGATCAAGCAGATCCCTCGTATCCTGGGTCCTGGGCTGAACAAGGCTGGCAAGTTCCCCTCCCTGCTCACCCACAATGAGAACCTGAACACCAAGGTGGATGAGGTCAAATCCACCATCAAGTTCCAGATGAAGAAGGTAAGCTCAGCAATACTCAAAAACAAAAAAATGATCGCGTCACTCCCACACATGCATATACAGCTCATGAATCACAAACAGGTAGTGGATCGGTACTCCGTATCTGCCGATAATCAAAGCCCAGCTCTCTTTATCCGGACTGAAACGGTTGGATTGGTGCATCCCGACTTATTTTACTGTTCTGTTCTGAACGTTGATGTTATACTTAAGAAATTGGTTGTTGGGTGACTGAACAATGTATTAATCTTCACTCTATCCTGTAGGTTCTGTGTCTGGCTGTGGCTGTAGGACACGTGAAGATGACGGAGGATGAGCTTGTGTACAACATCCACCTTGCCGTCAACTTCCTCGTGTCTCTGCTGAAGAAGAACTGGCAGAACGTGCGTGCCCTCTACGTCAAGAGCACCATGGGCAAACCCCAACGCCTCTACTAAAGGACCGCTTTTCTATCAATAAACATGTGGAGATGCTCCAAGTTCACTGTTCTGAGACTTTGTTTGTAAACATCACGGACGCCTATGAACTACTAGGTGTCTATTCTCAATGTAAGGCCTCCTTTATATTTAACATGTATTGAATGAGCTTATATAGGGACAAAACAAAGAAGCTGTTTTAGTTCTTTTCTCAATGGTTTAAAATTAAAGGTGATTGTAGCCGTAATGTTTTAACACTAAAGTAGTGATTGTGTTCATTGATCTTAGCAGTGTATATCAATGTACAGGGGAGAAAAACCTGTCACGTCTACTCAAATATATTTAAATTGCTGACGAATCATTTTCCAAGGGGCATTTACTTTTACACATTTTTTTGGATGTCGCTACTAAGCCTCTCGGCCCGTCGCTAGATGGTAATGTGAAGGTCAACCATGTTGAGTTTCCTCTATGCTGTAAACAGAATTATCCCTCAAACTAATAGTCAGTGATTAAAGATATAAAATGATTATCTAATTTGTGGGAGAAAAAGTAACTGCTGCTGTTGTGAATCAGCTGATCTTATCAGTGGGGCTCTTCAGCAGCCAGACTGTTATTTGTGGGCCATTATAATGAATATGTGCAGACTCATGAAAAGGTGCATGATGAATATATTTTATGACTTGCATAAAACAGCATTTTTAAATAAACTAATAGTAAAAAAACAACAGTTGGGGCTTGTATGCCACTGTTAAATGTTGTGTACAGTAAGGGTCCATGCATCCAATCAACTTAAGAACAGTTGAATAATCCCTTTGAAGTGTTTGGATTCAGTGAAGTTTATAGTTGGGACTCAAATATTTCCTTCACAGGGCAGTGAGAGTGATAATTGGTTCATCACTTGGGTCAACACCAGCCTTTATTTACCAAAGATAAAAACACAGCAACCGGTACAACCAAGGCTACCCATGAGCCTCTTGGGCGGTCTTCCTGCTCTGGTTTGACTGTGAATCTCCTAATAGGATTATCTATTCTCAGTGCAGGAGAAATTAACAAAACACGGACGGGAACTTCCACGAATATATTTGTGTTTCCAGCATCAATGAGAAATCCAGAGCTGACTGTGAAGAGGATTTGAATGATTTAATCTGTTTTCAACCCGAGGAAGACAATTGGATTATTCTTGAGAAGACAGAAGTTGATGTAGTGATGACCGCTCAGGTGAGTCAAATCTACCAGCTGTCCTACCTGGTTACGGCTTTAAATGGGATGATTGTATCTTTCATAATAGAGGAAATGTTTCTGAACTAATTTCAGCCTGATGCAGAGACAAACATCTACAGCCCGTCCACCATGCGGGACAATGAGGACGCTGACGAAGGTAACGGCTTTAAAATGTTCGCACAAAGTCCAGGAACCAGTATCATGGCTGTACATTTAAACTGGGTTGTGTCTCAACAGAAACCAGTCAAGAGGAGCTGCCAATCACAAGCTGGAACGAGCTGTCCATCATAGAGCGTGTCGGCCTCGACAGGTGACCAGTGTGATGTTTATCTGCCACACAGCCTGTCATAGTAGACCTTTAATAACACGAGTTCATCTGACTTTCCGTCACACTGTCACTTGTCTTTGTTTCTGACAGTGTGGAGCTGTCAGAGAAAGATTTGGAGGTAAGGTCCCCATGATATACCACACACTACATGCTGTTTTTTCCTCTTTTGAATTAGCCTACATGTGTATTTTGATGTACTTCATATATTACATGTGTGCATGTTTGTTAGTTGCTTTTAAATGAACAGGTTCTGCTTGTTATAATCATTATTCCCATTAAAAGATCTCTTCCTAAAGCTCTGTCAATGTGAGCGATGATGAGAGACGAAACCTACAGTCCTATGCAAATATGTATTCAAATGTTTGTCTTTTAAACGCCTGTATGAACAGGAGACGGACTTGAACACTTGTGATCCTTTAAATTTAAGTTTTAGTTGTCATCTTGTCTGTATGTGGATTTTAAAGAATATACTTCTTGATTTTGTGCTAAATATCCAAGCAGCAGATAAAAACGTATTCATTTTCCATCTGAAATGTAAGATGAATGTTGTTGCTCCCAGGCGGCCTTCTCTCAGATCGCCGTGGCCTCCCGCTGTGATCAGTACACCCTGAAGCAGAGGCTGCAGGCGGAGGAGCACGCCCGCAACCTGGCCGAGGACAACATCCAGCTGGAGCTGACCAGAGGCAGGGAGACGCTGGAGGTGCAGTAAATGGCTGATGATGATGTGAGATACGCTTTGATGACGCTACCATAGAGCAGGTGTACACGTGTGTGTGTGTGTGTGTGTGTGATTTCAGACACTGAAGGACCTGTGTCTGGACAGTAAGCGCAGTAAGATCCTGCAGAGGCTGGAGCTGTCTCTGGACGTCCTCGGTGGGACCGTGGAACGAATCTCCAACACGGCGGAGGTGCTCGGCGCTGTGCACCAGGTACTGGATGGCTCAGTAACACTTAGGAACGTGGTTTACGACCTGTGGGTCGGGGCGCCAAAAAAGGGCCCTAGAATAACTGTGAGGGGGGGTCACAAAATGATTAGAGACATTTCTAAAAACTGAATACTTTCACCACTTTAAGCCTCAAGAAATCCTTCAAATAAAACAGTTTCAGAGGGAAGAATCACCCATAAAAGATTAAATCTATAACATTTCATATTATTCACGAAATAAGCAACAATCAAAGTTAAAGTTTGTGCACTTTTTGTACACTGTTTGCATACACAGCAACACAATCTCTCTATCTATGCATTACAGTTTGTTAATATTGATCTGTCACACATTATAATGCATGTACGGACATGAAAGCGATCAACAACAGGTGTGTTGGTTTTGTATGATATTTTGTGTCTTTGATAGGAGGCTCGAGTGAGTCGAGCGGTGGAGCTCATGGTGGCTCATGTGGAGAACCTGAGGAGACACCATGACAGAAACGTGGCAGAGCTGGAGGAGGCCAAGAAGACGATCCAGCAGCAGAACTCGAGCACCGACCCCAGAGCGTCGCCAGGTCTCTGATGCTCTGTCTCGTGCTGTTCGTCTTGCTCTGTCGTCATGTGCAATATCTGACTGAATTTCTCGTTCTAGATCCAGAGGAAAGTGACAGCAGAAAGAAAAACTCTCAGCAGGTATGCCGATGTGCGGCATATTGTCCCATCTGATATGGGAACACTTTCCTTGTCATGACTTCAATCTGCCTTTTACTTGTGATCTTTCAGAGCAGCGTTCGTCGCAGACTCAGCATATCGCTAATTCCCAACCAAATCCAGGTAAGGAGGTTTCTTTAGCGAACTTTCTTTACAATTGTTATCATCCAGAAACCCAAACGAGCCGAGCGTCTTCGTCTTTGTCTCTACAGGAGAAGATAAAGCGAGACGTGAAGAAAAGAGCTCTTCCCGAAAGGTCCTTCAGCAAGGATTCCTTCCTCACCTGCACGTCTCCCCCCTTGAAGTCCAGCTGCTCTGCCATGACCATGGATTACAGCCTCCCTGCGGATGACAGGTCAGCTAGAGACTTTGTATCTGGAACCAAGTGATCAGCAAATGTGTGTCACCTCCTGATTTCCCTTTTCCATGTGTTCTTCAGGCCGCTGGATCCAGATGAAACTCTGTCAGAAGCTCCAGCTGCTGAGCTTCTTCCACCTCCGGTCCTCAGCCCCGAGTGTCTCCCATCTAAACAACAGGCCACCAGAAAGTTACGCGACAAAAAGTATGGACTCACTGGTCACGAACAAAATAGCAGAAACGCCACACAATACTAATACCTGCAGTAAACATCAACCCTGCTGAAGCTCTGGATGTTTGTTTGATTAAAGCTTGCTCTTTTTTTTGACGATGCTGTAATTCATGGCCTTAATTAACAGCCATCATTAATGTCTGTAGTAACACCTGCTCTTTTACTGCTGTGAACTGCGACTAAAAGACACTTTACACATTTAACACCAGTATAGAATATAGTTTTTGTTATTATTCCATCCTCCCTTTGTAACATTGCATTGACACTGTATTTGGGAGAACTGTAACGTACCTGTCTTTGTTGCAGTTCCCCTCTGGATACTTCGCGTCAGAGACACAAGGGCAAAGCTGCGTTATCAAAGAAAAAAGCAGACAAGGATAAAAAGACGACAAAGATCTACCGACGGCTTTCTGTGAGCACGTAAGTCGACATGTGTTTCAGAAGACGACTTGTGGTGATTCTTTCCGGTGGACACTGACCGACTGCTCTCCTCAGGTGTGGATCCTTGTGGCGACATCGTCCTCTGGCTCACTGGTTGTACCGCTGTCGCTGGGCGCTGCTCTGCATGTACCTGTTTGTGCTTTTGTGCGTCGTAACGCTGACTTGCTTCTTGTGGAAGCCTCACGATGAAGCGCCTGAGCCGTGAATGTACCATCAGAATGTACCAACAGTCTATAGTCTGTAACTGGATTGTAAACATCCAGTGTGTAGACCAGCTGAAATGTCTGTATCAGTCTTTGAATATTAAACTGTTCATGAGTCTTTTGTTTGTTCAATGTGTTCTTTTAGCTTCTAGAAAACAAAGCCACAAACTTCACGTTCAGCTGTATTTTTTATTATAAATATACAAAACATATCAAAACTGATACAATCACTTAGTTAGTCAGAAAACACCACACTGAAGTAAAAACATTCCTCAAAGGCATCCGTGATTAATTAAAGAGTTAACAGCAAACGTTAAGATTCAGCTCACTTCACTTCATGGCTAGATGTTAAATTTTAACTATATAACATTTTAGTAATACGTCTTCATGTTGCCAGGGGGAAACCCTCATTAAAAGATAAATATAGTACAACATAAAACATTATATTAGGAATGGGGATACTTTTTTCGTAAACTACTGTAGATGAATTTCATGTGCAAAATGTGTGCCAGACACAAAAATAATTTCAGCATCTGTGTTTTAAATCGGTTTGGTCTGAACCTTAATTCACCTCAGAACTTTTAGAAGCATCTATTAGAAAGCAATTTAAAATAAATACAACTGGCATACCACCTTATATTATGTTTTAAATTAAAAGAGAGAAATGTGCTCAGCGGAGTCCCAATAGGTCTACGTTTCCAGCATCAAGTCAAAATACAATCTCACAGAGAGCCCACAACCGTAATAAATACAGAAATAAATAGAGAGGGATAACACACATCGTGCTGAACCTCCTGCGGAGGAGTAGAGGTCCTAGTTACACCTGGCTCACGATTTCAGCATCCTCCGCAATGAACCACTGAAGTGGAGTCCCGTCTGCAGCTCTCTGGAGAATCACATTACCCGAACCCTGTGAAAACATGGAATCAGTGTTCAGCTCACACATTCTGAAATATACATATATTTTAAATCTGATTAGTTGATCAAAAGAACATAATTCAGCAACTATTTTAAAAATCGATTAATCAATTTCAGTCGTTTTTTAAGCAAAAAATGTCAAGAAATATGATGTTTCCAGCCTCTTAAATGTGAGGATTTGTTGTTTTTCATGTCTTAATCTTATTGCAAACTCAATATTTTGGGGTTTTGGACTGTCGGTCAGACAAACCAAGACATTGGAAGATGTTACATTTGACTCGTGGAAGTTGTGGTGGACATTTTTCATTGATTTCTGATGTTTTATTGACCAAACAATCAATCAATTTGTTAAGAAAAGAATCAGTCTTGTGTTACTCCTATTTTACTGTTGTAACATGATCAGTACTGACCTGTTTAAATGGAGGCAGATGAGGAGAAGTGGGGCTCTTGACACTCAGGGAGCTCTGCTGATCCTCGCAGCCTGGCCGTAACTTCTGCAGCTGATTCCTCAGATGCCATGACTTCAACTCCTCCGACACAATGTCCCTGGGCATCAGCCTGATGGCGTGGTTCGGGTACTCGTTCAGCGAGGGCGTTCGCACCACCCTGGTGTAAGGCGGAGGGGGCTTCGGGATTGTCCTCGTGGATGAGGCCCCGCCCTGCCACTGTCTTTGCTGAGGGCTGTGTGCCACAGGAGGAGAAGACAGGAAGCACTTTCCCATGTCCAGGTCTTGAGGGGAGAGGGGGCCATCTTCCACATTTGGTCTGACGTACCCGGGGCCGGACTGAGTCTGGTTGGTGTTCTTGGTGAAGCTGGAGAGCCCTTTCTTCTGTGCTCCAAAGTGGAATCCGTAAGGCGGCGGGCAGAGCTTTGGGATCTCAGTGGGTGCGTCCCCGCCAGGAGAGCTAATGTAGGAGGAGGACGAGTGCTCCGAGCTGCTGTCCTCCGAGCTGGACTGGTAAGGGCGCAAGGGAGTGTACTCTGAAGAACGCACCATGAAGTCAGCCAGTAAGCGTCGCTGGGGCAGCCTGGCTCGCTCTCGGTTGTTCTCCGTGTCAGCAGGTGGCTTACTTTTGGGAAGTCTGAGGAGACATATGTGGAATTGTTAAATTACAGTGGGCATGTTGTTGTGCTCTTTGTGCGTTAGTGTACTAATCGGACTTCTCTGTGTACCTGAAGGATTGGGAGCCCTGTCGGCGTACGTGCAGCTCTGGGGTGGAGGGGGCGCTGGTGGAGTTGTTCAGATGCAGCGCCGTTTTCTTTATAAACTGAGACAGAGGAATGATGCTCTCTGCTGACATCTGGGTTCCTGCTGGACTACTGCACACAACAAAAAACGGAGACGATGATGTGAGATGTGCAATGCATCCTGTGAGATATGAACGTTGACACTAAGCTCCCATTTTTCATTTCATTTTCTCTCTTATAGTCATGTTAGGACAGCAGTTGTGTGCTCAATGGGTAGTTAATACACGTCAGACTCGTACCTGGACCTGCTGCTACAAACAGACTGAGGGTTTGTGGCCCTCTGGTAAGGCTGATCCAGACTGGACTCTTTCCACGGAGAGTTCTGGATGGGAGAGCGCTCATACTCCACACTCAGCTGACTTGACGACTGCAGGGTCGTGGCTGACAGCTGGAGGGGGTCTGAATAGGAAGTGCCCAACACAGGAGGAGAGAGAGGGCCCACATCTGTGGATGATCACAGAGAACATCAAAACAGTCGGTATCATGCTGCTCCAAAATATCTCATACATCCTTCTATTTCATACTTCTTTTGTATGTTTTAATCTAAGCATGTCTATCAGAGAGTGATGATAATCCTCAAAATATAATATGTACGAATGAACTCTCCGCTCACCATCATCCAGGGCCACCACATCAGACAGGGAACTGTCGTCAGACATGCACAGATCTGCATGCAGAGAGGGAACATTTTAAAAGTGTCCATCGCAGCCACTGAATGTGTTCATGACGTTTGGCCTGAAGAGGGCAGCAGCGTCACTCACCTCTGTTTTGCTTGTTTGAGCTGCTGATGCGCGGTGTGTTGCACTCGCTCTTGATCCTGTGCTGGAACACGGCCTCCTGCAGATCCTTCACCTTCTTCTCCTCCCTCTTGCACTGCTGCAGCCGGCTCTTCTTCTGTGGTTTGCTGAGCTTCCCCTCCAGGGAGAGTTTGCGGGCCGCCTCGTAAATCTGCCGCTGAAGAGCCAAGTCCGTTTCCAGCACTTGGAGCTCTGAATCCTACGATAAGCACACATTCTGACGTTTAGTTTGAGCTGATGAATTGTAATCTCCTTTCCACAAAAATAGTGAACGCTGATTGAGGCCCATACCTGTTTATCCACATGGATCAGACCTTCGTCGAGCTTGAAGGAAGCTCCAATCCTCCTTCTGACCAGAGGAAGCTTCTCATCGGGCATCAGAGGATAGTCTGAGGGCAGTTTACCAGTCAGCTCCTGTGGATAAAAAAATCAATCTGTGACCCTTACACGCATTATGCAATTTTACCAACTCATTCAGAGCTATTACAAAGTCCCTAAGTAATAGATTGGTAGTATGTGCAGTATTGTAATCTAGACATTACTCACGGCCTCCCTGATACAGAGCGTCCTGAGCTCCAGCAGGCAGAGCTCCAGACGCTCCTCCAGAGACTGGTGCTTCAGCTTCAGGGCTCTGGTGTGTGTGGTCGAGTCCTTCCCCGGCGACGTGGGGCTGTCTGGGCCTGCAGTGAACACACAGAAGATCAGATCAGGCATAGAGATAAATATTCACTATTTTTACTGGAGATAATGTACATCATTTTCCGATTGGATGACCCAGAAATTCTTTCATCCTATCTGGCATTACATTTTTAACACACATACATGGAATGGGCCTATACTGTGAATTGAATTCCCTTTGCGATGATAAAGTTAATCAAAATTAACATCTGCTTTCGCATCTGCAAACTAAATGATTGCAAACTGTGACCATTAGACCGTTTTAATCATTCACAGTTTCCACTTAAATGTTTTTGAATCCTATAGCTGAGGGAAGAATTAGTTGTTGAAATATAAAAATAAGTACAACAATGTGACATGCAACTTTTTCTTTAGCTTGCTATCATCATGCAGCCCGAAGCTACAAGATGACATACGTGGAAATCAGATGTTCTTACCGGAGTGGACGATAATCCCGCTGTCAGTGTCGCTGATCTCCTCTTTACTCTCGATTGCTGTCATCTCGACTGTGTGCACTTCACTTTTCCAAAGTACCTGTTGAAATAAGCAGATATGACCCAAGTCAGTAAAAGTGAGCTGGATCCCTTATAAGAATACAGACTCCGCTGTTGTGTTTCTACCCCATGGCTTCACTCATGCTCCCTGCTGCTGCTTTACTTAACAAAAGTGAGTGACTGGCGAGTGTCCTTTCACACACTTATCCATGCAGCTCTCCATCTCCTCCCTCCTCCCTCCTCCTCCACCTCTTTCTCCCTCCCATGCTCCCTCACAAAAGAGGCAGACCCCCATGCTTGACTCGGCACATGTGCAGGGGTTAATCCGAATCGGGGAGCCATGGTGACGGGGCACCGTGTGGCTGGCTAGGGGAGCGTGTCGCCATGAGGCGTGTCAGAGGGCGTTTAAAGAGCCCGGACCCCGAAAAAGAAAGCAGATGGCAGCAGGAATTACCCCACTCATGGACTGCACCTGTTCCCCTCCACACACCCCCCCTCCCCCGGCTCCTATTCAACCAGTGTCCAGAAAGCCCTCTGGGGGGGGGCTTTGAAGTGGAAGAATGTCTCAATGCTGGGCTTGTCTACGCAGCATCAGATCACAAGGTCCCTGCTGACTCCTGTGCAACATTTCACCAACACACTTTCACAAACAAACAATTTGGGTTTATGGCCCGCTCGGCTCCATTGTTGCTGTGCACCAAACGTCTGACTGACGGTGAACGAAAAAACACGAGACATGGAGAGGAACGACAGAAGGAAGAGGACAACAATGACAACAACAAATTGGAAATAAACATTTTAGGGATGAGTCGAGGCTTTTAAAAACACGGCTAGTGGGTCTATGTGTGCGGCTGTTTTGGTGAAATCGCCTCCGTGGCGAGAGAGAGAAAGCTTGCTGCCCTTATTCTCTCAGTTTTTTAGGTCAATGAATTTATTCTGGAGCTCACATGCCTGCCACCACCCTAGACTTCTCCTGCAGAAGGCCAGCGGAGCATTACAGGCACTAACATGATTATTAGCCTCGCTTATTGCTTCAATGCCACATGTTTATAAAGTTATACTTCATGAACTTGACTCCCAGAGCAGTATCTCTATTAACATCATGCAAACAAAGCTGATAAGTCAATTCTGTGTTTTTAGAGAGCAATAAAGGTGACATGAAAACAGACACCAAGTGAATGGCTGTGATTGTAAGGCGGCCGTGTATAATCCTCAACTCCCGTCTCGTCCTCTGTGTTTTGAGATTTGTATCAGGCCTGTTCCTGTGGGGACCAGCCGGACACTGAGAGAGACAGGATATTATTGTGTATCCTATTGGCCTGACCCATTCACCACCACAACTCATGTGAACTGACGCAGCAATGAGCAGCCATATAGTACAATGAGGCGCAGGCAGCTCGAGTCAGTAAAACAACACTGCAACAAAGGCCCTGTATGCACCCACCGGCCTTAATAATCTGCTGTGGGCACAATATCTGCTGACAGCTCTGCTTCAGGGCTGAGCGGCGTTGTTGGGCCTATATTGAGACAAGGCTGCAGTGAGAGGTGGGGGAAAGGAACAGTGCTGAGTTTTTTTTTTAACTGTGTAAGGTCGAAGGCCCGCTGTACTCTCAGACACATGGCTCCGTGCTGCAGTGATCTCAAACTAAAAGACGTCAACAGGAATCCAGCCGGGTAATCAGAGACAGGCAGGGTAATGTGGGATTTACCCACTTACACCCAATAACTCTGAAGACTTTCACAAGAGGCTGTGGTCGGAGGGCTCGGCTGAGTGAGTGGGTGGGTGAGTTTGGGTAAAACAGCAGATCTCACTAGAAGTTGCAGCTTATTGCCAAGACGTTGATGCCATTTGTCACAGCTTTCATAAAGACCCGGAAGCCGTGGGAGTGTTGAAATCCTACTGGAGAGCCAAAAAAAACAATGCTTTTCTTGATTGAGTGAAACAGGAACAGCAGTTAATTTCCTGGCGGGATAGACGCTGATAGCACAGTCTCCACCCGGCTTGATTGATGTAGTCATAACATCTTAATTGTGGTGCATGTGATCACCGCTAGCGGAGACTATCTCGGAACTTGTTCGGGAATGGGAGCTGATCATCCCACCCATCCTCGCTGCTCACCGGACCGTGACAGCGTAACATCTACGGAAGTGGGTGTTTATGGCAAGAGATCATGATGTGCATTCACTGTCTCCCAGACTTCCCCCACCACCCTTTCCTTTCCCATGAGCCTTTGGAGCTGCGATCTCCTGGAATGCCGCCACCACCGCCGCCGCGCTCATTACCACTGTGGTCGGCCCTGGAATTACCAATGGGAACCAGCCTCGCCGAGGAAACAGTGAGGGATGCCTGAAACCAGACCGAGGCCTGTTCAAACCCTGTAATTAAGACTCTCCACTGAATGCTGATACTATGGAAGAAACCAAACGACCTTACAGCATGCCTTTTTTTCAGAGTCGGGTGAAAAGCCAAAATCCATTCAGCAGAATGGATCCACTCTGCACACAATATCGGCTGCTGGAAGAAAAAGTGCATCAATGTGGGGGAGCGGCAGGAGTAAAAAAAAGAAAGAAAAAAATAAGTGTTGTATTACAAAGCACGTCACTGAAGTCAGATCTTTGTCTTAAGAAGCAGTGCTGAGTGTGGAAACTCCACAGACTGCAGCAAAAAGCAGTCAAGAGGCCACATCAAAGACTCAAACACTGTCAGCCTATATCCTTTGTCAGATCAACATTGTTAAGTAGTGCACAGGTCTTAGTTCTCCAGCAGAGACAATGCAGGGGTAATAAGCACCATATCGGCCTGCGCTCAGTCACTGGAGGCCATATGCTGGCCAGACACACCAGCTCTGTCACAGCCAAACGACAGCATAAATACAGAGGAGATGCTCCATTGTTCTCCAGAGGCCGAAGGGCTGACCGAGGTTCACGACACCTTGTCCCCCTGAGTCATCATTTCTGAGGCCTCTGAATGGACCCTGACGGTCATCTCGGGCTCCTGGCAGGATGTGGTTACAGCTTTTCACCCACAAGTACGCATCGTTTACAAAAGAACCGGGGGACTGCAGGGGCATGACAACACAGAGGTGTTGTCTTTAGCACCACAGTAGCACAGCTCGCCTGTCAACACGTGGACTGACGGAGATGGTGTTTATTCGGCTGCTGCCCCACATAAATCCTAAAGAGTTGTTTATCAGTGAAAGCAACCTGTTCCTATTCATGCCACAATACGGAGCTTAGAGGCAAAACAGATAGTAGCTGTTTAAAAAAAATAAATCATTATTCATAATTACTTCGTCTGATAGTTGCAATTCTGAGGGGATTTAACTCTCTGCATATGAATACTTTTTTAACACAAAGTATATTTTTAATGAGCAGCAGTGGTTGAAGAAGTACTCAGATGCTTTTCGGATCCTCACATTACTTTACAAGGCAAATGTGGCAATACCAGTAATACCACATTATGAAAATATTCAATTTCAAATCCCGTGTGTTAAATTTAGCTTAAATAAAAGTACAGAAGTACTGTCAATCAAATAATCACAGTCTCAAAATTAAATACATCTTTTATACATTTCTGTAAGTTTTGCATGTAAAATTACATTTTGTAGCCCAAATGACTGGTAACTATAGCCGTACAATAAATGTAGTGAAGTAAAAAAGTACAATATGTCCTTTTGTTTTGAAGTTGTGTAAAAGTAGAAAGTAGCAGAAAAAAAAAAAAAAATGAAAATAACAAGTACCTCATGATTGTAGTTAAGTACATAACTTGAGTACATGTGCATAACGTGACTTACTTTACAACACTGAAGACGAGTGAGCACTTATATTAAGGAGATGTTTTAAAGAAATAGCACAGTTTACAGTGAAGACAGCGGTTCTCTAAAGTCGACCGATCTATAGCATCATCCCCTCTCACACACTTCATCCAATTTAACACTGGCTGAACTCATGTTGCTGCTCCTTCCCTGTCCGGTGCTTTCCCTTCACATAGTATGTTGCTGACCGATAGAAAGCCTTGTGTACTCACCTTGTGGAGTAATATCTGCTCCTCTACAGCATCCTCTCTGAGACAGCAGGAGGTGTTCAGACTTTCTCTGGTCAGATGCGAAAGCAACGCTTGGGACATCTGTTTCAGACGACTCCACTGTCTCGGGGAAGGGGGGGGGAGCTTAATTTGTAACGTAAACGTATTTATTTGCCAACGAATTTAGATCTTGTATTAACTTCAATGTATTCGTTACCTTCTATACCTGCTCAAAAATTATTTGTTTTCACTAAAGTAAGTTTTAAACCGGGAGAAGTATATTTAGTGGTGCCGGTGATCTCACCGGATTATTTGTAAATGGTTTGGTCCGACGCTGCTGACACTCCAGACACGCTCCGCGTATTTACACAGCACGCGACGCACTGAGGAGGCTTTTAATTTGAAAAGAGCCACAAAAGAAGAATGGCCGGAGGGAGAGACAAGTTGTGATAAAACCCAGGACAGCTGGTGAGTAGTGGTGAACAAGACCACGCTCACTCCTTCCCTCAGCCATGATGGTGAAAAAACGAGCAAAGTGTGGTGATGAGCCACACATCCATCCAAGAAACCTAGGGTGTACTTTTGATCTCTGACTCTCTACTAAGCTGTATTTGGCCTACTGGCCTTTGGAGATAGTTTATGAATTATGGGATGATTTGGCGTTTATTTATTTTGCTTATTCTCTATTGTATCATGTGCATAGGCATATATTGCTCTAATACTGTGTTTGAGTTAAAATTGTATACACTATCTATTTGATGCTACTCTTATAGCCAACTCCACTATACATTTCAGAGGTAAATGTACTTTTTAAAATGTATTTGACAACCACTGTATGTAGTTTATTTGCAGATTAAGATTTCACAGTTCTATTGTGAGTCAAGACGATATAGATAGATAGATAGATAGATATAAACTTTATTTATCCCCAGGGGGAAATTAGTTTGTAGCAGCAGCAATTTACAGAGTAAAATATAACTTATGGAATGCACAATATATACAGTACAATAAAATAAGAAAGCAGATATTGAATTTGAAGGAATGGATTAATAAAAAATAAGATAAATAGAATAAAAAATAGAAATGCACAGTATGTACCATGAATGGAGTGGTATTAACTAATAACTAAACAACCTGGACAGTAGAGCAAGGATCACCAACAACAAGCAACAACCGTGTAGCGTTGTTGTAGTCATGTGAAGGACGATGATCTGGCCCGAGGTGTTTTATTATAAAGTCGTATTGTAGTGGGCAGGAATGTTTTTCTGAATCTGTCCTTGTGACAGCGGAGCTGGATGAGTCTGTGTTGTTACACAGTCAGCTGTAATATATAAAGTAGTTAGAATTAGCTCCACCTCAGACACATACAAAATTAAAATGATGCTTACATGTCAATGTATCAGCATCAATAATCCAATAATATGATATACGGTACATAATAATACAGAAATCTTAGTTGTTGAAATATTTTAGCTTTTGATACTTTAAGAAGTACATTTTGTTGATTATGCTTACTTAGACAATCTGATTACTTTTTTCATTTTTTTCAGTTTTTGTTTCATTTGTTTATGAGATGTGCTACTTAAATAATCTAAATGTGATTCTAGAATAACAAACAGGCTGTTTTAGTCCCTGACTACCTCACATTTCTCCAGTTCTTTAACCAGGCCCATGGGTATTCCTAGCCTATATATCCTGAAGAAGCCTCCTCCAGATGGCCTGTGCTTTCTCCTCTCGTCCCGTGATGGAATGAAAAGATCAGCTAATTAAACAAAGTCCCATAACCATGTCAAAGAAGCGTGAGAGTCCTCAGGGAGAAGAGCTGCATGCAAATCAATTCCCAGTGCTTTGAATTGTGCCCAACAAAACAACACATCTCTGCAAACCATAAAGCCTTTATTTCCACAACACACGGACACACTACAAATCTAAACTCATGACAGAAACAGATACATAAACATGCACATTTGTGGGGGATTTCTATTAATACAAAAGAGTTCTGTTTAGAAATGTTAATGATCGCATAGAGGATTATGTGGCCCTTCCAGCTTTTTATCCAGGAGGAAGCATGATAAGTTGAAACATAGTATAATGACCATAAAAAACTTAAAAAATATCCATCCTCTTTCCCTCAACAAACGTTGATCCACATAGTTATGAATAAAAAACAAATACTCCACTCCTTCATCAGAACTGTTTCAAAGATTTAAGAAGACATTTCTAAATATGTGTTTCTTGGTATGCATGATTTAAATTCTGATATTTAAAAATGTAATGTTAACTTCACTAAGAGATGTGTGTAGTGAGCTGGTGCCTTTGTTATGTTTTTGTAGCCAGCAGACAGTGAACATGAAGACAGGGCCTCAATGGTGAGATGCAGCAGGGGCTGATGGGAGCCTCGGGGCCTCACTGCTCAAACGTTTGTGTCCGCCTCAGGTTGTCCTTCACACGGACAAACTCTGGGATCTTCTGCTGGTTCTCCCGCTGTCTGATCTCCTCCTGCTCATACTGAGACATGAGACAAGTCAGTGCATCAGCTCTCAGTGTCGTTCATCCATCCCATTGCACCATCCAGTTAGTCCAGACCAACAGCTTGCTTTATCGTCACAAAACCCAAGTCAACGAGGTTTGAATAGTATTTCGGTGTAAAAACAGTCAGATTTATAGATGTTGCTATTTACTATTTTATATATTTTGTTGTTTTCCAAAGAGGTCGTAACCCTTGCAAAGGGGTTACAAAAACATCTCAGGGGTCTTCATGATCAAAGCGGTAAGAGAGAAGAATAAACAAAGTTCTTCTACACACATTGGTTTTAATTTTTTGGGCTTTTCTATTCTATTTTTCTAATCTTTCTTTTTTTCTGAAATATCACATCACTTGACCTCTTTGGGTGTAGGACGGTAATTTAAATTAAACCATCTGAAAAGTTTAAAGGGGAAAAGTCCCGTTGGTTGACCTGCTAACAACTCATAGACGTCTAAAAAGTGAAATGGGTCCAAACAAGATGCAACTCTTTTATAAGGGGCCACAAGCCAAAAAGTGCGGGAGACCGTTTGATCTTTAACAATGCATTGCATTTTTAAGCATATGTTTTTTATATGTAAAATCTAAATTTGAAAATTACAGCTGTCAGATAAATGTAGCACAATATATTATGAATTAAGCAAATTTCCCTTTGAAATGTGATACTCAAGCTAAGTAAAAGTACTTCAAAGTTGTACTGAAGTGCAGTTGAGTAAATGTACCTGCATGTGTTAGTTACCTTTCACTACTAATTTGGCCCTTAAAATGTGTGTTTGGGCCAAAGTGAATTTATTTGTATTTCATAATTCCTTTATGAATCAATGAATTACTCTGAGCTGTTTGTTTTGTGCTTCTTCTGACCTCTTGCATCTTCTGTTGCCTCTTGCGGAGCTCCGTCTCCAGATCTGACGGCCGCCTCTGAGCCATCTCCTCCTCCCTGTGCAGCTCCAGTCTGCGCTGCTCCAACACTCGTGTCAGCTCCGGTTTCTCCTCCAGCAGCAGACCCCTGCGTGGTCAGTCAGAGTCAGTACACAGACAGTCCACCCTGCTTTGTTTTACATGTAGACCACATTGAGATCAGAGAGCGGAGGTGTTGTCAGTGTTCAGCCCTCCTATACCGTTTATGGCTGAGCAGCAGCTCCCGGTGCAGGTTCTGGTAGGTCGGTGTCTCCACTGAGGAACCGTTCAGCTTCCTGGGCTGTAGGCCCTCGTCACCGCTCCAGTCCGCTGTGGACTGACGGAACATCCGCGGGCGGCCAACAGAGGTCTCTGAGAAACCCCAAACAACTCATATCACTACCTGTTCACTTTGACTTTTAACTCTCTTAACTCAAATCAAAATCAATCAAATCCTAGAATAGATAAATAGAAAATGTTTTAACTACTGCCATCATGAATGCTGTTAATGTGACATTTCAGTCACAAAGTAACTAGGGAAATTAATTAAACAAACGTTACTATACCTTTTTTGTGATGTCCGTAATCTGGTACCTATTGGTTAAAAAGTGTGAAGGAATAAAGAAGAAGAGACACCCTGTTAGTAATTCATCAAGTAAATGATGTCACAGCCACTAGCGGAGCCAGACATGTCAACATTGATGTATTAAAACATCTTTTTTATCTTGATCTTAACCTGATGGGGCCGTGTGTATAATTAGATACCGTAAGAGCAGGAAGTGCCTGCTGTGCTGCTTAAGCAGGTGAGCACAAAGGTGACGTAACAGTTGCGATGTAGGTTTGGCAAAACATGACCAAAGTTCCAGCAGTAATTAAAAAGGAAAATAATATAGATATCTGTATTTATTACACACATAGCGTATAAACAAGAGATAAAAACTTGGCTTGACATCCTACTGTAACACAATCAGACAAAGACCTCTGCCACACCCACTGAAACCAGATAATCAGGAGCAAAGGATCCTATTGAGCAAAGTAACAGATGGTAGATGCTGCATGTTGTAACTGATGTAACTCTGCCTCTACGATTCTTTGAGCTCAGAACTGAATTTGGGATTGTGTCTTTTACTGTTCCTGTCTCAGACATAAGCCTCCAGATCCTGTCCCTCCTCGCCCGGGCTCCTGCAGAGACTTTGAGCTGGCGGATTGATTTCTGACCTGATGGAAGCCATTGTTCCAGTCAGAGCCTGCAGGGCTGGAGTAGGTTCCAGCTAAATCAATAATCTCACAACTCCTCCTTCTCTCTGAATTGTGTTGTCACCAGCTGACTCTCTGAAATCATTTTACATTCAGAAACATCAACATGTGTTTTTTTCACATGCATTGGAATATTAAAAATGCTAAAATTTAAACAACTTTTTGTTTTTCATATGAGAATAGTGATTAGCCGCATGTTTACATGCAAAAAAAAAAGGCTTTATCAGTTTTCTGAAGTACAAATTAGATGATTTAAGAATCAATGAAGCAATACAACACTTCATAAATTGTATAAATATTGTGTTTGAAAAGCTTTCAATATGGATATAAAACATTGTTGACTGCACTTCTCACCTGAACTAAAGCAGTTTCATAAATGAATCGACTGCATTGTTGTTGAGCATCTAATTAAATAATGTGGCTCATCCTGTGATTCTAACTTGAAGAGGGGTGTAAAGTCTACTGGACATACGGAGTTCAAAAATCAACCACGACTGTGAACCCACTGAGGATACACTCGCATCCTGACAGGTGGCCACCAGACCAGACGTTGAGCTCTCACTCTCTGTGCCAAGAGTAAAGGGGGAAGAAAGCAACTCACTTTTCTTGCAGGTGACCCCTCCATGGCAGGATGGTGGAGGTCCACTGCGTCAGTAACAGTGTTCCTGTTTTAGTCCATTGTTGTAAGAATCACACCTCCTCACATGGTCTGTCTGTTATCTGTTTCTTTGCTGCATCCAAGTCCAACATAGTGTTGATGAGGGATCCTCAGACTCAATGTGCCACCTAGCAGTAGTCAATAGTGGTAGTAGACACTGAAATCTTATTACGCCATTCAAGATTACCTCACACCCCCCACAGGGAATAGGACGCTAGATTAGCTAATTGCCGCAGACACAAATGCAGCTTAAAACCGACCTAACACGGCACTATGACAAGTTGACTCCAACAACAAATGCTTTCAGGCAAACCAACATACTGTTTATGGTGTGAGGCTTATTGCTTGGAGACATACAGTTTATATAAATAGATTCAGGATAAAAACTTTTTATTTATTTACCATTGGAGTATATCTTGTTTTCTGAATCGTTCTGGGGAAACAAATTTATATATGCATACCATGAATTAGACGTCATTATTTACATCCACAATGCAGTTATGACTATGATGCTGTCACATTTACAATCAATTCATTTACAAGCATTTTGCAGGTTACATTTTTTTTACTAAACTTATACTAAACCTTTCCTGAAAACAGCCATTGAAGAGTTAATGAAGGATTTTACATCTTTTACAAGACATAGTAGCACACATTCAGAGGAAAAAGTAACCGTTTTGAGCAGTGCTCCTAAATCAGCTTTTTTTATTGTTATAATGGAATCCCTATGTGCTGTACAATAACTTATTGTGTTTGTCTTATTTATATTTCCTCATGTAATTGAGCTGAGAGCCTCTGTTTCATTTATTTTTAATTGATTATAAACGTCATGACAACACAAATTGTGAAGGCAGCAGAAAAGTGTTAACAATACAAATATAACTTAATCCTAATATCATGTTTTTTACTACATTACTCACCAATCCTTTTATATTATTTCATAGAGGCCTACTTACATTATTACTTGAATTACTATTTATCTTACTCAGTTTTGACTACTGTATTACTTATTGCGTGATAAATTATACATTTATTCTATGTTCATATACTTACTGAACTGTAAAACTGTCATTTATTTTAATAATAGAACTATCAAGTCAAAAAGGGAAAGAAGGAACGGTCTTTTCCACTGACGGCCACATGAGGTCAGTATACCACAGTGTGATCCTGCTTTCAATGTCCCATGATTCCTTGCGGCTTTTTACTTTAAAGCTGACCCGGAAGTTCCTCGTGCTTCACAGTTTGAGTGGGTTGTGAGCGGCGTGCTTGTGTGAGCGTGTGGTCGAGTGAATGAGGGATGATTGTGTGTGAGTGTGTATTTCTGTAAAAATCTACACAGTGATCTTATTTGATCTGGTCTGAGTTTGGCTCTGCTCAGATCAGAAATGATAGGAAAAACGCTCGCGAGCCTCCATGGCGATGAACAGCGGGCGAGATGTTTAGGGCCTCCACGCTTCATGTTGTGGTCAGAGGTGATGAATTGATCAGATATACTAGTTCTGGTTGTGTTTGGGTTCATCTCAAGCGTCACAATGGACAATGAGTATAGAGGCGATTCTGATCTAACCACAACCGAGAAGCAGCGCGAGGGCGGTTGATTGTTTTAAACGGCCTGCGTTCTCCTCTCGAGACGCTCGTTGCATGTGACGAGACGCTGCTTGTTTCATTGTTCCAAAACAATGATGGCGGTTTACTCTTTTCACTGGAATTGTCCAAACGTGTACTGCCACTCGAAGGTGGAAAATGTCTCTAAAGTGATGTACGGTCACCTTTTAGACTAGTTATCGTAAGTGCTGGATACGTACCTTAATGACCTGTTTCTAATATTTTGTCCACCCTGTTAACAGTGAGGGTAGACAAAACAAATACCTCTCAGTATAATTCAATTTAACAGCACCACAAACTGTATCCTCTAATATGACCATAAAGTTGAATCAACACCTCTCTAAAGTAGTTGCTGAAAAACAACATATGTGAACACATAACCTCACAATGTCACATCGGGCCTGGTAACCAGGGGGAATTATATGGATGAAACTAATGAATATAATAAAACAAACTCAAATGCTAGGTTTTCACCATGTTGTTCGTACCGTATTATGTTTGGCTCTTTACTCAAGTAGTTCTTTGATAAAGATATCCAAAGTTATCGGAGTCAGTCTGTTTCTTTTTATTTGTGTTTCTTGTCTGAAGAAGAACTAGACGCCCGAAGCGTCACCAGTGGTAATCAAAACGTCCAGTGGAGCATTAAGAAAACGTACACAATAAAATTGCACAATAAAAATACAATATTTGTCTTTATACTGTGGCTGTTTCTTCTCTTACAATTATCAAGGGCCATACAGTAGATTGGTTTGTTTATATAATGAAGGACCAGATGACAAAGTTTCTTTTTACTCCACAGAACTCACAAAAATATTCGATGTCCTAAATCCTGGTCAAAACCTCCCAAACCCATGTTTTACAGGATATATGTGGTGCATAATTCCAAAAGAAAGCCCCCATATTTTAGTAACAACACAATATGTATCTCCTGCAAACCAAGATCTGCCACATTGTGAATTACAGCTTAGTTTTTTTAACATGAATATAATTGTTTTAAACAAGCATACCGTATATTCTTTGATAATATTACACAAGTGAAAATAGCAAACAAATACCATACGAGTTGGTTGATAAACGTATTCATAGAGGAGATGTTTTACTTCTGAGGCTGAGACTTTTATCTCGCGATAACGGTAGTATCTCGCGATAACAATAGTTTCTGACGATGACGCCACTCTTTGTGTATACACGTGACCTCTTTCGTCCAATCACCTTCCAGTGAACACTAGGCGAAGCGCGCGAGGGCGACGGTTTCTTTTTCTCGGAGAGCTCGTCTTTTAGTCGCTATGGCTTCGTCCGGCAAAAAACGGCGACAAAGTCACGTCAATAGCGGCTCACAGACCTCCAACAGCGTAGCGAACCTGTTCTCAAGCAGCCAGACGGGCGCAGTCGGAGTAGAGGGTCGTTTTGTGGAGGGATCCATACTTCGCCTCACCATGAAAAACTTCCTGTAAGTCACTGCACCTGAGCTGTCAACTAACAACACAGACCAACGTATTTTAACTGTTTACAGGATGTCACAGACCCCGATGATAACACTGCATATATCTACCTTGTGCTCTCACAGGACCTATGACTACTCTGTGTTGTATCCCGGACCCAATCTCAACATGATCGTTGGAGCCAATGGAACTGGCAAGTCCAGCATCGTGTGTGCCATCTGCCTGGGTCTGGCTGGAAAGACTGCTATCCTGGGCAGAGGCGACAAGGTAAACACTGCAGCACCACAAACCTCTGGTAGATGTACTCCGAACATGAGGCCTTAATTACATAAGAGCAGTGAGTAAATACAAGGCACGATATAAGTTTAATATATTCTATCTTTTTAGCTTATAGCAGCAGCATTATGGTGTTTGAATGTCTTTCATAATCATGTGATGGTTTGTCTTAGATCCCCGAACAAAGGTCAAGCAGTCAAATTAATATACAGTTAATTACAATTCTTACAAAACTAAATGTTTATTTTTTCTCTGCAGGTTGGGCTCTATGTGAAACGCGGGTGCAATAAAGGATTTATTGAGATTGAACTGTGAGTTATGTGAAAGAGTTTGCAGTGTTACTTGTATATTTTTTCCCCTAGATGTGTCTGACAACCAAACTCTTTCTTGTTATTCCAGGTACAAGACCGGTGGTAATGTAGTGATTAACAGAGAGATCCACGTGGAGAACAATCAGTCGCTGTGGATGCTGAATGGAAGACACTGCAACCAGAAAGCAGTGGAAGAAGAAGTCAAGGCGTTGCAAATCCAAGTCAGCAACCTCTGCCAGTTTCTGCCTCAGGTATGTTTGTGTCTAATAGACGAACGGCTGAGGACAGCCAGTCTAACTAGTACTGTCACATTGTAGGATATTTGCATAGTGCAGGCGGCATATGTGTGAATGCTTTTTTAAATTCTAGATTGCCTTAAATGTTACATCCAGTATCACTTTCCTCACTGTTTTTTTTCTGTTTCCTGTTGGTGTGGCTGGTTTGTCCTGACAGGAAAAAGTGGGAGAGTTTGCTAAGATGTCCAAAATTGAGTTGCTGGAGGCGACTGAGAAGTCAGTGGGACCACCAGAGATGTACGAGTACCATTGTGAGCTCAAAAACTTTGGCAACAAAGAACGAGAACTGGAGGTAAACATAATTGTCAAAGAATGAATGCATTTCAAAGAGTTGTAGAAAAGAAGAGTTTTTTGATTGCTTCTCTCCTTGAACACCTCTGTAGAATTCTCCTTTCTCCTGTTTGACTGGCACCACACAGACGTTTTCAACAAAACAATGTCACAGTTGCTCCATCCATTATCTAACTTTTTACCCATATTTAAAAGATGTAAAGGCACCATTGCAAACTTCAGGCTCTTCTAGGTTTTTCACGGTTGTTGGTGATTTGTTTCCCTTTTAGAACACTCTGAAGGAGAAGGCCAGTTTCCTGGAAAAGACCAAGCAGAGGAACGAGAGGAACAAACATGATGTGAACCGTTACTACGAAAAGAAGAGGCATCTGGACATGATTGAGTTGCTTGAAAAGAAGAAACCGTGGGTGGTGAGTGATGGAAATGAAACACTGTGTACTAGAGCGAGAATAAACAAATAAACACAGTCAGAGATTAAACTGTGTTAAGCAAACTGTATTAGCTGTGATTCTTTCCCTCTGATATTAGGAGTACGAGACCACCCGTAAGGAGTGTGAGGGCGCGAAGAAGGAGCGAGACGCCGCCAAAAAGCAGCTCTGTGCCCTGAAGCAGGCGCAGGCGCCCATGCTGAGGAAGATCCAGCTGATTGATAACCAGCTGAAGCCCACTGAGGCACAAATAAAGGCGAAGGTGAAAAATCAAATGTTATTACTCTCTGATGGGTGTAAAGCAGGGAAGGACAACCTTTTTCATATGAAGTGCCATTTCTTTTATTTTCTTGTTAATCAGTGTGCCTTAACATTTAGTTTAATTATGACACCACATCAAAATGTATATCCCCACCGTACCTATAATTAAGTTTCAAAGCAACGCTTTAAAAATGATATATGAATACATGTACTGTATATACATCGGAGTTGAAACATTTACTCGACTAACCTTTTACCAAAATTCAGCAAAAAAGGCGAGTACTATCCAATCAGAGGCAGTGTGGGGCGGGTCTTTGCTGCATGCAGGTGGGGGAAAAAAAACAATCACGCTATAATAAATATTAAGCTGCGCAACTGCCAATGGCTGTGAAAGAGGCAATTTCTCATAGACAAAATACACTTTAGCACATTGATTGCACATGTTCCATTGGTTAAACTGTGTGTGGCTAAGGTTCCATATCCTGGTCTACAGTGTGACAGCTGCGTCTAAATGAAGTAATGGGGTTAATAGGGTTGATATGTTATTTTTTGCAGTTTACTCTGAGTTAGTACTTATGATCCGTGTGTATCTATGTAGCTCAGAGGTCCATTAGCTCTCACTGATCCATCGAGTGCTCTTGAATGGTTTTATGGAGAGCCTCTTTGGGCATTTATGAGGATTTCAGATGAATTGTAAGTACATTATAAATGAGAGCATTATGCTGCCCACAGAAACGCATTATAAAAAGGTTAAGACATTTTTGAACGGCACATTTGAGAATCCCGCCAGCTATTTACGTTGTAGTCTGGGTTTATTTCTTAAATACATCTCTGCTGAATGTGAAGGAGTAATTAAGATGAATTAAAACCCCTTTTAGAGCAGGCTTAATGTCGTCATTAAAACGAGAGGCTCGGATTGTTGATGGTTTTCTACAGTACAATGGATACTGGAATGTAATGTTTGTGATATCATCATTATGCAACACAGGGATAATCAACGGAAATGTAGTTGTAGCTCATTTACAGAAAAACACGACAAAAAACAAATTTGCATCAGAATGTAAACTATTTACTGGGCAGATTACACGGCCGGCATCTCATCATTAAGAGATTGAAGCCTCAAAGGCAAACACGAAAAGACAACAAATTCAAACCAAAATGTAGTGAAGCTCTTGGGAGCTGCCGGCTGCTACATCTACACGCGCCGCCGTTGGGCACAGCAGGTGCCTTCATCAGTGTTAATTGTAAAAAGAAATGTCATTTTTGTGTGAAATGGACTCCTGACCAGCTCCCTTGTTTGACCGGTGAAGGGACTTTGACCGTGTTATTTTTATTTCTTTCAGACTGTCGCCATCAAAGAAGCCTCTCTGAAGTGCAAACAGAAACAAGAACAGTTGGACCGAAAGCATAAAGAGGTGAGACTCTGAAAGAGGAGGAAAACCTACAACTAACATGCCACTCTACACTAAATGGACTTCTGTCTAAAATCCTGCCCCCGAGAACGTCCTCCTTTTGTATTTTTCATGGTTTATATCAATTTGTTATGTGCTTTAAGCAGTTACAGTAAAATATTTCCAACATTTTTTAAATTATTTCACTTAATTAAAAAAACAACATAATCCTTGTTTTGCATCCAGTAAGAAGCAACGATAGAAGACATTTCCATTTGAACGATATGATTATGATACAGTCCTACTACATATAGTCTATTTCGCTGACTTTTCCTGTGTCTGAGAATAAATTAGACTTTATCTGTCGTGCGGCTGTGTGCTGTCCATGAGGAATGATAACTCTCCCTGTTCCTCTCTACAGATAGAAGACATTAAACAGACGCAAAGGCTGAAGCAGATGGAAGAGGAAGACCACCAGAAGCGAATCAGCAACACCAGACGGACCATTGATGACTTGAAGGCAGAGCTCGCCAAAGTTGGCGACCAACCTGATGTGACTCCGCGGATCAACGCTGTGAACGTGGAGCTGAGGTCCATCCGGGAGGAGAGAGCCAAGGTTGAAGGCGAGAAGGCCGACCTACGCAGGGAGAAAGACAACCTCTATGCTGAGTCCAAAAGTGAGAGTTTACCACAAACTACGCAGCGTCCTCTGAAACCAGTTTACACGAACACAATCTAATTATTTCACATAAAATGCTGCCAGCATAGGTACCAGTGTCAGTCCTGTTGAAAGTCAGTAGATTGTGTTTATTCCTTTTAATTGCCAGTGTGGGTGAGAAAGCTCAACGACATGAACAACCTGATGAATGCCAAAGAGGAGAAGCTGCGAGGACGCCACAGGGACACACACACTGCCCTCCAGTGGCTCCGAAAGAACAGAGAACTCTTTGGTGGAAATGTCCATGAGCCCATGATGCTGGTGGTGAGTCCTCGTGAGCCATGTGGTAACACTTCATTTTAACCCCACCCCGTTTAGCTTTTACAAGCAGAACATAGGCATTGAATACATTGTTTATAAGACACTGTATTGTAGATAGACCGTAAGTGCATATAAGAAGATATTAGTGTTTCTTAACAACTAAGACTGCTGTATAAGAATTATAAAATAATTGACACTGTACATCACTTGGAAGACTATGTCCTTATATCTGCGTAGAACTACATTACAGTGTATTATAAATCATGTATTAAATGTTTGTTTAGTGCTTATCAATGATAAATGGGGGGTTGAAATCAAGTATTAGCACAACGAATGGGATTTACGTTCTTTTTTCTTTTGAAATTGGGGAGAGTTCTTCTCTTAGCGGTGATTCTTCACAAAACGTTTGAAAAATCATTGATTTTCTAGTAATTATTGTGATTGTGGTGCTTTTTGAATCCGTTGCATAGCCCGCATGGTAATCCTTTCCTCGTTCCTCAGATCAATGTGAGAGATCATCGTTTTGCTAAGTTCGTGGAGAACCACATCTCATTCCACGATCTGCGGGCGTTTGTCTTCCAGAGAAAAGACGACATGGAGAAGTTCATGTTAGAGGTCGGTGATTGTCACGTTGATTCTGGGAGGAGGATGAAAATCCCTCTGAGTGCAAAGTGTCAGACAAATCTTAACTCTGTGTGTGACATCCAGTTTTTGCCATCCCCAAATAAAAAAAAAAGATTTTATCTGACCCAAACCTCAGGTCCGTGATAAGATGAATTTGAAAGTGAACTCCATTTCTGCTCCGGAGGATTCGTGCTCGAGGCGGCAGCCGTCCCGAAATATTGAGTCCCTGAGGTGAGAGGAAATGAATGGTACTTGAGGCGTCATGACTTATATAATCAGCATCAACATGTGGAAGTTTGTCTGTGAACATGACTTTTAAAGTATTTCTACGTACATCGTCATGTCTTATTTTCTTTCTTATTCATAGGCGTTTTGGGTTCTTCACCTACTTACGCGAGATGTTCGACGCCCCTGATGAGGTGATGAGTTACCTCTGTCACCAGTACAAAGTGCATGACGTTCCTGTGGGCAATGACCAAACTAAAGCCATGATTAAAACGGTACGTTCTCCTCCCCACATTCTCCAAGTTCTCACAACACAACAGCAGTGTTCGAGACGTGAATGTTATTTAGAATTCTTTGGTGAACTATAATGTCTGCTTTCAAGATAAGTGGTGTAGGTTGAGGCTTGATATGTCAGTGAGGTCTGTAAAAAGGCACCATCCATTGAAACCATTGTTATTTATTTTGACCTCGTGCCTTTTTAGAGCTGTCAGAAAGTGGCATTTTTCAATTTAATTTGATTTTGATGATTAATGATTCCTTTTGTTATGTCCCAGCTGGACCACTGAGGTTCAGAGAACCTGCTTGGAGTTCATAGTGTTTCACACTGACCTCAGTCTTTGTCTTGTCATTTTCTTTCTCCCAGGTGATTGAGGAGCCCTACCTCAGGGTGTTATACACAACAGAGGAGAGGTACACATTGAAGAGGTCTCATTACTCCAACAAGATCAGCACCAGTAACTCTGCAGTGCACCCTTCCCAGTACCTCACCATCACTGTGGATGCTGAAGAGAAGCGGCTGCTGGAGCAGCAGATGAAGGTAAGGGAGAGAAACAGGAACAGATTTGGAAGCATAGCCCTGAACTTTTGTTTTTAACTTCAACCTTTCAGAAATCTGATACCTTGAGAAATATAGCTTAAGACATCTCAATATGTTAGAGTTTAGCTGAGGCAGGAGTTTAACTGTTAACCTCCACTGTGACTAGGCCTGTGAGTCGAAGTTACGAGACATCGATGAGCGGATAAAGGCCCTGCAGGCGGAAGCCGCCACACTGGATCGCCGTGATAACGAACTGCTGGCAGAGAAGAAGCACCTTTCAGAAATAAAGGGCAAAAAGAGGCAACTGGAGCAGAAGATCAGTACTAAGCAGGACAGGCAAGTCCGTCTTGAACAGTTAAAAGTCCAAACAGGCACAGAACGTTTCCCTCTGTAACGTGTAATATGTTGCCATATACTGGATGACTTGATTAGTACATTGTCTCTGTTTCCTTCCATGTGTTTAGTCTGAGGCAGATGGAGCACAGTGTTATTGACCTGCAGAAGATCGAAGAGGAAACTAAAGAGAAAATTGCGGTTGTCAATTCACAGAAAGTGTCCATAGTCGGAGTGTTCATGGCCCAAATGAAGGTATGGATCGGTGACCTTAGAACTAAGGAGCTTATATGACTGTTGTGCATTTGATAGCTGTGGTTGCACATTTAGATTTAACACTGGTACTTTTCTCTTTCCCTGCATTTACCTCCCCTCTGTGTTTTCATGCTTCTGTCTTGTTCTGACTCTACCTTCTAGCCGACATTATGTCAAACGTGTATTGTTTAATTCATTAATTCTCTGTCCTCTCTGACTCCATCCTTCTTGTCTCTCCCATCGTCTGTAGCTGAGATCCAAGCTGACCATGGAGAAGGTGTACCTGGCTTTGGAGACGGTGGGTCTGATGGCTGAGAAGTCCAAGCTGGAGAATGATTGTAGAGACGGTGCCTCTGAACTTAAGACTACTGAGGTGAGTGTTTCCCTCACACTGTTATATACATCTGCCCTGCTGTGGTGTCCGTGATATTAACTCCTGTATTTTATGGCGTGTTCTTGCAGCAAAGATGCAGCCGTCTGGAGCAGAGGAAGGTGCAACTGACGGAACAATGCAAAGGCCTGTTGAAGAGAGCAATGTCAATTTGCAAGATGCACCCTAATGAGTCATTACCTGAAGACCTTCGTAATGTAAGCGTTTATCACAGTGTTTACTTCTACATTCAGTATTATATCACTGGATAAAACACGCCTCATCACTTTCTGTGGAATATTATCCTCATCATGTGGTCCTGTCGCTGCAGTGGAAGCCTTTTGAAGGCAAGTATGATTAATATTGGTTTGTAAGATATTCATGGTTCTTGTTTTCTAATGCAGGCTTTCAGCAAGCTGCCTGACACACTGGACGAGATCGATGCCATGCTGAATGAGGAGCGGTCCAGAGCTGAGTGCTTCACCGGCCTCAGTGAGAATGTAAGCGGAAGCTAAAGTTATTCAATCTCTACAGGAGACTGTGATCGGGCCATATAATGCTGTTTTGTTGTTATTGTTTACTTTATCCGTAGCAATTTCTTTATTGTTGGCTTTCTTGCTTTTTTGGCCAGAAGTTGTGAGTCTGAATACATGGTGGCCCCTCAGAGTGTGAATGTTTCTCATGTTGATTCTCTTGGAAGGTTGTTGACGAGTACAACAGGAGAGAGCAGGAGATCAAACATCTGGAGAAAGAGCTGGAAGACAACAGCACCGCTCTAAACGTCTACCGACAGAACATATCAGAGGTACATGGTTTGTGACTGCAGGGATCCCTCTGGGATGTTTGGGGGATCTTTGACAGCCTGGTCATCCTTTTGTTTAACTGTGTGAACAGTGATTTCTGTATTTGTCTTCGTAGGCTAAGGAGCGCTGGCTGAACCCGCTGAAGCAGCTGGTGGAACAGATTAATGACAAGTTCAGTGATTTCTTCCGCTCCATGCAGTGTGCAGGAGAGGTTGATCTGCACTCAGAGAATGAGGTAAATGCTGTCTCACGTGGAACAACACACACACTCTAAGCTCTAATATAACTTATGCTCTTTTTTTATTTTTATTCCAGATTTTTAATTATTACCCTGTTAAATGCTGTCTTTCATTGCAGGAGGAGTACGACAAGTATGGGATCCGAATTCGGGTGAAGTTCCACAGCAGCACTCAGCTCCACGAGCTGACGGCCTACCATCAGAGCGGAGGAGAGCGCAGCGTCTCCACAATGCTCTACCTCATGGCCCTGCAGGAGCTCAATCGCTGCCCCTTCAGAGTGGTGGACGAGATCAACCAGGTAGTGCTCTCTCTCTCTCTCTCTCACTCACACACACACACACACAACAGCTTTTCTTCTGTGAGAATATGAACATAAAAACAGAGCTGCAAAAGTAGCATGACCTGCCCTGAGTCCGGGAAAAGAGGATTTTTGCTTCTTGTCCCACATTTTACGATTCATGAGCCAAAAATGTGCCATGCAGTGGTGCTTTAGGGTCCAAACCGCCACACAAATTAGTCCCTGGTTCCTCGGCCTCAGGCTGGGATGTGACTGATACTACTTCTCTCTTCTCTGCAGGGAATGGATCCTGTAAACGAGAGAAGAGTCTTTGACATTGTGGTCCGCACAGCCTGCAAAGAGACAACATCCCAGTACTTCTTCATAACACCCAAAGTGAGTGTTTGTACCTTTTTTAATGAGTTTGTTCAGACCATAACAAGAGATTCTTACCACATTGTGTGTGTTAGTACATATACTGTTATCCACCTCTACAGTTCCCCTCAGCTCCACAGAACAGTTTAACACCTTTCAGAGTCATTGTAAAACACTTTAAAAGCCCACTGTTTATTACCTACTCAGCACCAAACAGCAGACAGACACAGTTAGCAACTAGCTGAACATAGCAGAGAATTCAGCTATAGAGCCAGATGTTTCCCTCAGGACTTGGAGACCAAAAACATTGTTAAAAGAATAACAATAAGCAGCTCTTTGTTTTCTATATACAATATGCTGTATATATGAACTTAAAAGGTGATGACATGTCAGTGTTGTGTTCTCAGCTTGTTTCTGCTACCCCCAGGAGATTAAAAAAAAAGTAATTACAGTTATTGCAACTGTAAAATGTTTTGTGTGAATCTGTATATGTGTGTTATTATACGACCCATGCGCTCTTCATTTGAACTGAACTGAACTTTTGCTCCTGCGGTGTTTGTCTTCAGCTGCTGCAGAACCTTCAGTACGCTGACGAGATGACTGTCCTTTGTGTCCACAACGGCAGCCACATGCTTCCCCCCAAACAATGGGACGAGAAGGCGTTCATCAGACGAGGTCTCCAAAGAAAACCCCAGACATGAACTCACCATCTGACCTTCCCTGTTAGAATTCAATTATTTTGAACTGTTGGAATGAAACTGATGTTTATCATTAGAAATGCGTTCTGTTGAGTTGTTGTAGTTCAGTTAGAATTTACAACATGAAGCTTGGAACGTGACTGTTTTAGTTGTTCTGTTGAAGGGTTTTTCACAAGCTCAACATTTGGTCCAAATTGGATGGACATTTATAAAACAGATGTACAAAAAAATTTAACTATTCATTGAGCGTATTTGTTGTTTTGTCATTTGCACATTTTTCTAGTTTAATAAAATATTCTGCTGTGTCTGTTTTAAACGTGCAGGTTACATTTATTTAGAATCTGGTTCCTGGTATGCTTTGCGTGAATACTGCTTCATCACACAATGCAGTATGAAGAAGGTAATGATATCTTTACTGGAAAAAGATACAAGTTATATGAACAACTTTTTGCATTCAAAATAAGTTCAATTTTGCTCAAATGCCATAGAAACTATTAAGAAACGGGGCATGTGTTGGAACTTTCAGTATTCAGTTTTCTGTGTATGAAAATCTGATAAATGTAAGCATTACATAAATTCACTGAAGGAACCCCTTTATTTACAGAGCTCTCATGTTGGTAGCAGTCAAAGACTCTGGAAGCTTTGCATTGAATATAAGCTGCCACCCTTCTCCCTGGTGTAGCACTTGTTAGAAAATGCCTGTGGGGGGAAAAGGGTATTATTGTACAGGTATTTCAGACACACCTCACTACACAAAGTCCGATTCTCCCCAGAGTCGGTGGGTTTAGTTGGAGTCAGATTCTATCAGTCTGAGAATTGAATCAAAAGTTCTAGGTTTCTTTATTTTAACTCATCCACCCAGATACCAGCTGCAATAACTGGATCATAATATGACTAAATGTCACCTGAGCTTCACTTCATGCTGTAAATGGTGCACCTCTGTAGAGCGACCCGCACTCTGATGTCTTTCTCTTGTTCCTTATCCAGCATGTCCTGCTTCCTGTACATTTACATTTAAAATGATAAATGAACACAGTTGAATTAGACTCCTGAAATGCCAACACCGTGAGGTTGCACTGCCAGGACAGGAACTTGAAGTTCATCAATAGCGACCTGTGGTCCCTAGAGATGGTCCCCTGCTGGTATAAAACCTGGTTCCTTAACCACAAGAAGTCCTTGTGGTGGTCGTAGACGGACTTTAGTTGGAGGTCGAGGCTGTCCTGTGGAGCCTGAGGTTGAGACAAGAGGGGTGCATTCCAATTCCTTGCCTTGAAATATCTTTTTACAAGTAAAGGTCAACAGTTATTCGTCATCCTGGAGGTTACCTGAGGCTCATAATTCACAACACTCCGCCGGGAGCTGGACAAAGTGGCTGTCTCATGGAGACGACTCCAGGGTTCCTCTGTTTGGGCGATATGGGTAGGCTTACTAAATGTTGTTCTCTGTGCAATGAGAAAGGAAAATAAAATACAAATATTACAAAACATTTTTAGGGTGGGTCTAAAAGTGCTTTATATATATTAAAACAATAGTCAGGATCAAATGTGTATTTTGAAACTCATCTCTGCAAGCTAGCTAGCTGATGTTGTCCAATCAAACATGAAGTTTTATCTGAAGGTAAACCTACCCGCTGCGTCCTGAAGCCGCTGAGAGTGAAGTCGTTTTGTAACTTTGGGGAGGGGAAAGGATCCCGACTCGACATATTTAATGACAAGACGAAGCACGGCAGATGCAAAACATATGCTCGTGTAATGTCGTTGTAATTGCTGCTGTTATCCGCTATACGAGGAACCCTAACAGAATGTTTACAACCTGGCTTCTAAGCAACCACAAACTTCCGGTTAAACCTTTTAAAAAATAAAAAATAAAGGTGAACACTCGATATTAAACCGGAAGTTTCATCAATTAATTAATTAAAATTTTGGAGAAAAAAAAACGGACGAAAGGGCCACTCGCTAAACCTATACCTTTAAATAATTGTAAACTTTTTTTTAAACCCACCACTTTATAGGTGTGATAAGAAGCCACATATTTTTTTCTTGAAAATGAAGAGTAGGCCACAGATAACGACACACTGTCAAAATAAAATGCAAGCAAAAATGCTGGTAAAATACCAGTCAGCCTATTGCGTTTCAACAGTCAGCCATTAAAAGATGATTCAGAGCAAGAACAGGCACCTGAGCCAATCACCTAACAGTGTTTGTTCACCTGTTCGGAGTGAAGCCACGCCCCCAGCTGCAGCACCTGAGGACTCAGGCCAACCCTCGGCTCCTCCGCCTCCATCACTTCAGCACTGACAGGAGGCGACGATGCAGCGAGGCCACCTTTTACTGTGGTTGCTTTTTGCACAAGCCCATGCAGAGTTGCCCATGTGCAAAGAGGTGAGGAGATCCATATTGTTTTATTGTTAGCCATTTCTACATTGTGAATAACAACCCATCCAAAGCTAAAATTACTCATGAGGGTCAGTTTAGCAATTTAATGTGTTTATTAAGGTTGGATCGGTCAAATTGCTTATGGATGAGCAGCAGGTGGAAACGTATAAATTCACCAAGATAGGCAACATTGCTGAAAATGTTGAAGGATGGCTGACCATAAGCCTCTCAAACAGCTTCACCAAGTTACAGTCTGTATGGCCCTGTTTAAGAGCTATATGTTTGTCTCTGGGTTTTAAAAATAAACACAGATGAAGAAAAGTGTACATTTAAGTTCGCACACTCCCACAGTGTTGACTTCAGCAGGACTGGTAAAAGCCTTCTTCGCATATTGTGAGTTGGAAATGAACATATGCTTCGCTAGCAAGTGTTTGAATTACATTACATTGGTCACTGGCTTCAGTTCTGCTTGTTTCAGTGTTATTATGGTTATCACACACTTGTTTTACTAGAGTTTCCATATGTTACATCCTCTGCCTTTCTCTCATTGCCCTTCTGTGTCTGTTTTTCAATTTGCATACGTTTGATATTACTCAAAGCATTTCATTTTTATCAGCATACTCTGAGCTGAGTGTGTGGAACTAAGATATGCGAGCTGTAACTGAAAAGTTAGCACAAGAGACGTGTTTGTCTTGAGATTTCAGTCTATTGGGCTTATAGGTGATGATGATTTGGGGAGGAGATGAGTTTGTTTCCATGCCAGTCCACTGACCATGAAGCACAGCGGTCATTATGTCCCGTCGCCTTGGTTTCCTCATGTTTGTTAAAGGAGGCGATTAAGCTACAGCACATCCCAAGCTTTACATCAGATCCTCCCACCCAAACACACATTCATCTGATACCCCAACCACAGCTAATGCAGCAGCTCTAATTGAAAACACAGACCCAGAGGAGTGCTGCTGCTGCTGCTGCTGCTCTGTTTCTGTTAACTATTAATCCCACAAGGCTGTGTGGCCTTGGACATGTCTGACTTTCCTTGGGATATTAAAGCCTGCTTTTGACAACACTGTGTGCCTGCTCAGTACTCACGACGGTGTCAGATCAACAAGATACCCTAAAATGTTATGTCACATCCCAAATTACATCATTACGGGCGGGACGGTGTTTGTCAGTCACCTACTGTCAGTATCTCCAAAAGGCGTCAAAGCAAGACAGACAAATACAGCACAAGCTTTGCTCCTGAGCTCCTGCTGTACTGTGACAACACTGAAAATTGCATGTTTACAAAAGGATTGGACTAATCAGCATTTCTCCCCCCTTGGCTAAGTAAATAAACCCTGAAGGGAGTTGTACTGGTGCACATCCTTGATGAGTGAGATTAAGACAGCAGTTGGGACCTGCCTCCTGGGCAAATATTAGCTGTGACTTTTAGAAAAGAGGTTTGCCTGGTTTTGGAAAATAAATTCCAGAGGTACAAAACAATCTGGTAACCTCTTTTAATATTAGCCCCATTTGTTGTTCACATGCATGCTGACTTGCAGCTTTATGTATCATTAAAAGTATTTTGATACACTTTTCCCCCAGCTGTGTGAAAATAACACCTGTGTTTTGACCCTGCAGTCAGATTATCACTTTGAGTACACAGAGTGTGACCTACTTGGGTCAAGATGGAGAGTGGCGGTTCCCAACAAAGCCAACACATGCACAGGCCTCCCAGATCCAGTCAAAGGCACTCAGTGCAGTGAGTGCCCTACTCTTATCTCACATTTTATACATCTTATACACTCTCTCAATCTGTGTCACAATCTTTAATGTGTAAATATTAAATTGTTGCCACACTTAATCCTCTTTATCTGTTCCTTGTTACGTTTTCCACGTCTCCATGATACATTTCCAATGTGGTTTCTTTCTTTCTTTTCCTCTTACAGCCTTCTCGTGTAGTGAGGGGGAGTTCCTCGACATGCAGTCGCAGCAATGCCAGAAGTGTGCTGTAGGTACCTACTCGCTGGGCACCGGCGTGGCCTTTGATGAGTGGGACAGCCTGCCGTCTGGTTTTGTCAACCACGGAGTGACCACGTACGGCGAGGAAGCCCACACTGACTGCTCCAAGTCAGTATACGCCTCACTTGTTATTTAAATAGTCTTCTCACTGTTTCTTAGTTTCAAGAAGCTCATCAAACTGTTTCTGCTGTCGATGTTTCTTCAGCTCAACCTGGACACCGATGGGTGATTACGTAACCTCAAACACAGATGAGTGCACTGCAACGCTGTCCTATGCTGTGAGCCTGAAGAAACCAGGGACTGTGTCCTTTCAATATTTCTACCCTGACAGCAACATTTACTTTGAGTTCTTTGTAAGTGCTTTAAAATAACTGTTGATGTTGACAAAGATGGATGATTTTTAGATGTATATTTGCTCATCTGGGGTTCGTTTCTCACCTTGCTTTAGATTCAGAATGACCAGTGTCAGTCTACGGACTCAAAGAGCCGGTGGATGAAGACCACTGAGAGCAAGTTTAAGGAATACAGGGTTTGTCTTGTCATTTGCTGGAGAATTCAGAATGAAACAGCTCTCAGGTTTTCTCTTTTGCTGCTTTCTCATGTTCACATTCACTCTGTGCAGGTTGATCTTAACAGTGGCAACAATGTGCTGTATTGGAAAACCACTGCGTATATTCTGCAGGGTAGTGCTGTCAAACCCGTGCTGTTAAGAAACATTGGCATCTCAGGTAAGATTAACCCTATAGTGTGTCGTGTGCAGCAGTTTGAAACAGTTGTTCTCAGCTCCCTTTTCCTGTTTATGAAATTGATTGGTGGATGGCTTTCTTCCAGGGGTGGCCTTCACATCAGAGTGTTTCCATTGTAAACCTGGCACCCACAGTGCAAACACAGGGTCTGCCCGCTGTACCCCCTGCCCTGCTGAAAGCTACTCTAACAAGGGTGCTGCCATTTGCCATCAGTGTGAGCAAGACACATATGCAGGTATGCATGTTTGCATTTCTAACGCGTCATATCACTGATCAGCATGCTCTTTAACTCGTAGATACGTCTAAACTTACAATCATTCCGTATTTGCATCTCGTCACTCACACATGCAAGGCAGTCTGCATGCAAATACTGTATTTACTGCTTAAGTGTGTGAGGTCTGTCTGATCTCTTATCTTAATGTGAGCGGTGTGTTTTCCCTGTGTGTCCCCGCCTGTTTCTCTTTTCGCTCGGTTTCTATTTTTCCAGAGGCTGGTTCAGGGAGCTGCAAACCGAGACCTGCATGTACAAACAGTGACTACTTCTACACCCACACTCCCTGTGACTCTGAGGGAAAGGTAATGTAGAAAATGACATGGAGTGTGTGGAGGCAGAGTTTGTGGAGGTTTAGTAGTGGTGAACACAAGAGAGAGATTTCACCTTGAAAATATCCAGCAGCCATCTCGTGTAACTATTAGGTTTCTTTAAATATGGATTGTTTGCGCTGATTGTGTGCGGCACAGAGCATCTGGTGGCTTCGTTCATATATTCATGTCTGGCCTGTTGTGTGTCTCAGACTCAGCTCATGTATAAGTGGATCGAGCCAAAGATCTGCAGTGAAACTGTCGTAGGAGCCGTGAACCTGCCCGCATCAGGGGAGAAGCAGACCTGTCCCCCATGTAACCCGGGTTTCTTTGTCACCAACTCTTCTACCTGTGAACCTTGCGACAAAGGTTTCTACTCAAACGGAACAGGTGCAGAATGAGTACACTCCGTGTAAAGTATATAGAGCTGTCAAAAAGTTTCCTGTTTTATTTTCCATGTGTGCCCTCACATAATGACAGTATTTACTCACAGCCTGTACCAAGTGCCCTGTTGGCACGGAGCCAGTGGTGGGTTTTGAGTACAAATGGTGGAACACAATGCCGAGCAACATGAAGACTGCCATCTTCCGTCGAGAGTTCGACGACTCTGAACGCAGCACAGGTGAGAAATTCAATATAAGGCAACACAGTGCCGATTGAGAGGACAAACTCCCCAGCAGTTAAAAGACAATCAACACAGTTAGAAAAAAATACTCTCGGGCACAGAACCGAAGTGCAACAGAAATACTAAAAGAGCAAGATAGCACAACTGAACATCCGAAAAGTGATGAATCGAAACAGGATATGTACGATCAGGACAAAGAGAGATAGAAAGTGAAATACACAATCGCATAAAATCACCAACAAAACATCTCCAGCGTTCGACAAAATAAACTTAAAGTGCAAATGTCCAAAAGCTGTGAGGTTATTTTGTCAAACTAGTATTTCCAAGGTAGAAATGAATCTACACGTTCAGACTCTATGGTACTAACTTATGCTTTTCTTTTGCCTTATGTTTTGTTGCTTTTAACGGTTTTATGTGAAGCACTTTGAATTGCCTTGTTGTTGAAATGTGCTGTACAAATACACTTGCCTTGCCTTTGATCCTAATTTAAAGTGTAAGTATGTTTGAAGAGTTATTTTAAAGATGGCGCATGTCAGCCTGAATTACTCTGTGGTTCTCCAATGCTCGAGGGATGGCATCAGATTGTTTCTGAATATTTATTTGTAATGACAGCATGGGAGGTGGCTGGAGAGTATGTCTACACCACCCCAAGGGATCAGGACTCAGACTACCTGATGCTCACACTTGATGTCCCTGGATACAGGTGAAGTCAAACATGTCTCTTAAAGGACATCTACACAATATCCCAGTTGGAAACGTTGATCGACATGTCCTTTGTTTCCACAGGCTGCCTCAGTCCATGGTCGAAGACAGTGAAAGGAGTGAACTTTCTCGCATCACGTTTGTCTTTGAGACCACGTGTACAGCTGACTGCAAGTTTTACTTCCTGGCGGTGAGGGGAAATGTCCCAACATATAAAGAGGGAGAGCTATCCATCAGAATGATTATGTATATATGAGGTGAGTGTGTTTCTCTGCAGGGCTATAACCGGTGGAATAATGATGTGGTGGAGCAGTGGAAAGGCAGCAACAGTAAACAGTCATACTCCTACCTGATCCAGAGCAACAGCACCGCCAGCTTCACCTGGACTTTTCAACGAACAGAGGAACCTAACGCGGTGAGACACAATCACACATCTCCGAAATCACTCTTCATCTATTCATCTCTTCATCAGCTTCACTCCCTCAGCCTTAAAAAAATCGAATAAAGAAGCTATTTGATTTAGCTCTTTTTATCCTAAAGCTTTATATTTCTTAGTAAGTGCACTTTGTGTCTGAGTTCATATATGTGTATTCTTTATACATATATATTGTTATACTGTTGTTTCTGTCATTGTTTCCCTGGGTACAGACTTTGTAATTTATGGTTTTAAAGTCTACTCAGTGACAGTTCGATTTACGGGAATACGGGTAAGATAAAGTCTGACACATCCTTTAGATTTGCAGGAGGGAAAGAAGATGAAGCACTAAATTTAGCAACAAATACTGTGAATATATTTACAAATTATGGCTGTAAATTCCATTTTAAATTCTCCCTAGATTATGTTATAACACACTTTTTGCCTTTGCTGATTCGTGCAGTGTTTTTGCTCTGAGAGTGAGTTTCCCCCCAGTTCTTGCACTGAACTCTAGAGGACAGTCTGGAGCTATGTGGCCACTTTGAAACACAGCACATAAACTACATGAAAACTGAGCAGAAAACAGGTGTAGACTTAGAAAAAAAAATCCCAAAACTTCTCCCTCAGGAGAAGAAATACAGCGCTGATGCTGCAAAGATCTTCTCCATCCACATCACCAACGTAATTGGAGGTGTGGCCTCTCAGTGTCGCCGCTGTGCCCTGGGCTCCGCTAAGGCCGGATCCGCCTGTGTTCCCTGCCCACTGGGTCACTACATGATCAATGGGACTGGAGTCTGTAAGAGCTGCCCGCCGAACACCTTCATCAGGGCCCATCAGCCTGTTGGAGAGGCCGCTTGTGTTAAGTGTGGACCAAACACACAGAGAAACAAGGTAATGGGAACAAAATCCTTTCCACTGAAGAATGTCTAACTAAATATATTGATGTGTATTTGTATGCAGGGCTGTCAAGGACACATAGGTATTGTCCTTTGGGGTCATTATGGGATTTTGGGGCCTTTTACGAAATTAGAGGAGTTTACTTTCTATTATACACTTTGGGTTGGTTTTAAAGGCTGATTTTGTCTTTTTTTAGACACTATCTCTCCACATTTAACTGTTTCTAGTTTATAAATAAATACAATAAAATAACAGAGGGTGTGCAGGGGGCTTTAAAAACAATCTGAGGGAATAAACATTCACAGAAAAAATTATTTGACATTTAAATGAATAAAGAAAATGTGATAAAATCACAAAGTTCTCCAAACCTTTTGGTGGTTTGTCAAAAATGGGGGTGTTTTGGGACCCATGACCTGAGGATTTGTAAAACCCTGACTATGGCCCTGAATGTATCTAGATCTTTATCTGCTAAAATAAGGTTTTTATTTGGGTTTCCCTCAGCCGGTACATGAGATGAGATTATTCCACTCACTGTTAACAGAATACGTACCTCTCCTTCAGGCCCACACAGCTTGTCTCAGTGACTGTGCATTGGACGTGCAGACAAGAGGAGGCGTGCTGCTGCACTATGACTTCTCTCCTCTGTCCAACGTCACCGGCTTCCACAGCAGCCCTCGTTTCACCAGCAAAGGCCTGAAATATGTCCATCGCTTTAATTTGGGTCTGTGTGGAAAAGAGGTGAGAAGCTGTGGTCCTGATGGCTTTTGTTTTTTAGTCAAATTTAGTTTGACGTTAAAACCTGCTGTGTTTCACTTACAGGGCAGAGTACCGGCTACCTGTGTGGAAAATGTGACAGAGAGTGGGAAGGAGGTCAAAGGTTACGCCTGTCAGTCCACTGTGGTTCCCTCTGACATCAGGAGTCAGAGCATGGTGTCCAGCCAGCCTTTTGTCATTGGTGACACACTCATCGGTATGTACTGAATGCTGCAGCCATCTATTGCTGTAAATGAGAGGAAATGTTTGTAAGATGTTTTCAACACCAAATTTGTGGAAAAGTATGTTCAAAATGTCCTGATATTAATTAACGGGCAACACACATTATCATTTATGTGATATACTTTGTAGTCTGCTGTGATGTAGTATTTATGTTAATTTCTTCAGTGGCTCCCATTCTAGGGTCCGGGGCCCCCACAAGCTGTCACCAGCTGAATCTAAGGGGTTCTTTGAACATTACCGGGCTCCAAAATAAGAGAAATTCTGCAAAATGATGTTAATTTTTTTAACTTTTTGCCAATATAATACTCCATGGACTGAAATGTCTAAATCAATTGCCTCAAAGATGAATCCTAATGATTTTGGTGATCCTCTGACTTTTGCACCACCACGAGCAAATACTTTATGACCATAGACTGTAGTTTATGAGCAAATACCTACAAAACCCATCAGTTTCAGTGGAACTCTGTATTTAGTGCTAATAAGCAAATATTAGCACACGGACCCAATAATCTAAGTTGGTGAACATGGTAAACATTAGACCTGCTAAACATTAGCACGTAATGTTCTCACTGTGAGCCTTTTGCACACTGGAGTTAACATTTAGCTCAAAGCACCACTACACCACAGACTGTATCGTTATCGTGGCTGTAGACTCATATACTTTGCAGTTTATTATAGTGTATTAATGTAGTTTCCTAAAATCATTTGAACAAAAGTCTAAAACGAGGCCACTCTTTGAATTGATTAAATGACTCACTTCTTAAAGAGATATGTACTGCTTTGTGGGGTTGCTTAAATTTCATATATCAGATAAATATGCTGATATATGTCCTCTTATTCTGAAGGTGTGACCACCAACACGACCCTGAGTAGCATCTCATCTCCAAAATGGCTGTTTCCCTCTGCGCCCGTCCTGCCAGATGTCATCTTCTATTACAAGTTAATAAGACAACTTATCATTTATTTTGTTGCATTCATCCACTGTGGTACTTTCACATACATAGAATGGTAATAATAGTAATATAATGTATGTGATTTGATTTTAGTAATATAAAGATTTGAAGCTGGAACTTTTATCGATAGCTGAAGTAAGAAATGTAATTGAGGATCAGAAACAGTCTAAAATATATCACATTGTGGAAATTAAGACTTTTATGTTTCCAGGTCCAGTGAGACGACTCAGGCTTGTAAACAAGGCCGGTCAGCCACCGTCAGACTGAGATGCAACCCCTCAGTGACTGAAAAACACCATATCACGCTGCCAAGGTATCTTTCACTGTGACCAAGCTCAACTTTTGACCTTACAAAACTTGTCCGGACAACATTTGATTTGACACACATGCTGTATTACAACACACACATAGCCTGTCACATACTAAACTCTGATAATCTGAATTTGGAGACATCACCTGAATAATCTCTCTTATCTGTGTTTTTTCCTCCACAGTAACTGTTCAGAGGGGACGTGTGATGGTTGTACTTTCCACTTTCTGTGGCAGAGCCAGCATGCATGTCCACTCTGCACCAAAAACAACTACAGAGAGATTGTCAGCGCTTGCATCCAGGGAATACAGGTAGTGCTGCACAGGCATGGACATTATGACACAAATAATATTACCTCTTCGACCCCACAAATCCAATCACAGGTCTATCACAAACCTGTGTGTGTGGGGGGAAATACTTAAATGTTCTAAAAAGTGTCAATTATGTCAGACTACATTACAGGAAAACAATTATAATTATTATAATATAATAATAATATGGTATTTTATGTTGTAATTTAGCCCTTTTCACTTAAGGTACTGTAAGTGTGATACTGACACAGTGAAGCAGTGGAACACACACAATATTTATTTACTTTATGGGGATATTTTTGGGCGAAGAGTTAGATGAGAAGATTGATGTCTGTCCGTTAAATATGAAGCTACAACCAGCAGCCTGTTAGCTTAGCATAAAGAATGGAAACAGTGGGAAACAGCTAGCCTGGCTCTGTCGAGTGGTACAAAATCTGCCTCCCAATACTTCTACAGCTCATTATTCCTGTAAGGAAAATACTGAAAACCTTAGGATTCAAGTAGTTAACTGATGTGTGTGAAATGTGACCAATGAAAATGTAACTATGTGTGTGTTTCAGAAAACCACCTATGTGTGGCAGCAGCCTTTGCAGTGTTATGGTGGAGAGTCACTACAAGCACAAAAGGTCAGCGCTTGTGTGACTCTGGATTTCTGGCTCAAGTTTGGTGTTTCCACGGGAACGATCGCTGCTGTCCTGCTCATCTGTATCAGCTGCTATTTCTGGAAAAAGACACGCAAGTGAGACTGCTGAGCTTCACATTTCCTCCGATGTTTGGTTGAAGCACTGATATGTCACAAATAAAAGATTAAAGCTAAAACCTAAGTTGATAGTTTGCAAACTACAAAGACGAGACTTATGTCTCTGAAGTGTATGTTGACCAGATGTTATTTTATATCATTCTCTGTCTGCAGGTTGCAGTATAAGTACTCCAAGCTGATGATGAGCTCTGGGGGTACAGAGTGTGAGCTGCCCACTGCAGACAGCTGTGCTATCATGGAGGGAGAGGACGCAGAGGACGACCTCATGGACCTCACTAGGAAATCCTTCTTCACCAAAATTAGGTCCTTCTCACGAGAGGTCAGTAACCCGTTCATTCACACAGACTGAGCTACTTATAAAGCAACTTCTCATGCTTTGTGTTATTACCAATGTGCTTTCAGAGGACATCCGATGGATTTGACTCAGTTCCACTAAAATCATCATCTTTATACCATCAAAGAGAGGAGGAAGACTCTGATGATGCTTAATTCAGAGGATGAACAAATGCTTCTACTAGAGTACAAAGGAAGTGTTAAACTTTAGATAAACAGCTGCAGCAGACGGAGTCACAGAAGAGAGTCAATTTTATTTAGTATTATTTGTCAAACGTTAGGTTGCCAGACCTAATAGTGTAATAGAAAGTCTCCATATTGGGGATATTCTGTATTTTCAAAGCCTGATGGTGTATTTCAAAATTATATGAGAACCAAACTGTGGATTAAGTTACAACTGTTGAAGATGTGTACGGCTGTGTACATTTTACATAACTGTGAGTGTGTATTTCATTTTTTTTTCTATTTTCTTTTGTTGTTTTTTATTAGGCTATTCTGTTTTTTTGTTTTTTTATCAGACCAGCCATTCGGTTTAGTCTTAAAATGTTATTTGGCAATATATGTATTATATTTGCTCCCACCTTTGATAACCTTTTGTGCTGCACGTAAGCTTATGATACAATCTTGCTTTATTGTGAAGTAAAGACATTTTCTACAATAAAGAAACCACAAATGTGCATTTCTAGAAATTAAGAGTAACCTCTAATGCTGCCTTCTGGTGCTCTCCCTAAGATCATATTGTCACTTCAAATTGCTTATGTTATATAATACTTTGATGTTACTACTTTAAATGTGTGTATGTGTTTTAGTATTTTTGTGGTTGTTTAAGTCAAGAAAAATACAAACATTGAATTTTAAATGAGGTGTACATTTTATAGATGCTTTTACTATTTACCGACATGATACCTATTGCAAGTAAAACATATTAACATTAACATATTAATCAAAATGTTTCTCTTTTCTGCAATTTCACGTGGAAGAATGAAAGTATTTTCCCGAAAACATGTCTTAAATATCACATCATTAAAAGCAGCGGTAAAATGTAGCTGAACATTTACTCAAGTACTTTCATTAACTGCTACTGTATACCTCTACTTCACTACAATTCAGAATGAATTCTCCTTTTACATTCTGACAGCTTTAGATACTTTGCAGATTAATCTTAAACACACAACACATGTAATCATCTTGTAAAATAAAATGTATAACAGTGTATAAAAGTGTCAAAAGTTAATTCCACCTTGGCCACATTTAAATGCTGTTTACACGTTAACGCATTAGTAATAAGAATCCAATAATATAAATAATGTATTACTGCAGGGCTATTCTGCTGCTATCTTTTTGTACTTTTACATTAGCAAAGTTTTGAATGCAAAACATTTACTTATAATAGAGAATTCTACATGTTTTTCTGCCACTTGAACTCAAGTACAGGATCTTAATAATAATACCGCCCCTGACTGTCGTTTTATAATTGGGCCATTCCGTCAGAAATCAATCACTTTCTGAGCTCACCCCTTTTCATTTGAAAGGGCAACTACTAGCGATTTGTACCAAACCTCTTTGCTAAGGACAATTTCCCCACTGTGGATCTGCTTTTCAGTCAGGCAAGAAGTTTACCAGGCACTAGGAATCTTCAATACTATGAACCTATTTCCAGGACGAGGTCATGGCACGGCAGTTCTTATGCAACAACTGAAATAGAAGATCCGATCACACTCAAGACACTTTGTCTTGACCTTCAATGAAATCAAAGGCTATGTCACAGTTCAGTGTGCCAGAGACTGGTGGCTTGGTATGGTGCTGTGTGTTATGTTCATGTAGCTTTATTTTATATAAATAAGTATGAGAGAGATGCCCTTTTTATTTTGATTCATCACCTGCCCTCCCAAATGTCTGTGCACGGCCCTGTAAGACATCCTGATCAACTCCTGGTTGATTTGGGGCGATGTGCTCTCAATAGTGATCCACAGAATCAGGCAACACACTTTTGCTTCCAAAAATTTTTTTTGCTGACTTGGCTGTCCTTATGATATAAATTAATTTTAAATTCCAGTTTTTCATCATGTGATCATATACAAATCTGAAAACTGAAGTAATTTTTCAGATTAAACTGAAAATCATGGGCAACATGAAAGATTCATGCGTCAGACTGATCTACCCACCACATAGGTCTACTCAGAAGTCTGTTATTGCTCAATTTATAGCAGGCACACCAGACCAACTTGAAGAGATGTAAAGAAGTATCTATCTAAAATGAAAACACATCAGAGTTTGTGCAGTTTTTTAAGTTTTAGTGACAAACAAATCACCCAATTTACCAGAAATGTTGAACTTGTGTATTACCTTGTTTGATAGGTGATAAAATCCAACATACTATTGTTTTTTTTAGACGATATCTGTGTCATGGGGTGAGGTGTTCATCCAATATGGGTCAACTTTGAGTCTTCTTTGATTTGGTGCTTCTTGTTGACACTCTCGCATAAAGATTACATTTAGGGAAAATGCAATTGATTTCTGACGCATTGCCCTTCTACGATTTTGAGTATTTGTTTGGGAGGTATCTCATTGCTAACTTTTGCACCTGACCGCAGCACGGATTTCAGTTTCTGTCCTTTCGTAAGGTCCCGTTGTTTTCTCTCGCGAGACTTGGCGACGTGTTGCAAGCGGGGTGAAATCTCGGGAGCTGTCTAAAGGCGAGCGGAGAGGGGAACAAACAGCGTGAAGATTTAAAAACGTACATTTAGCAGACGGTGCAACATTACGCAAAGAGGCAGCACCGTCACTTTCGATTCGTTAAAGTTCTCTAACGACGAGACGCGTTCAATTTAGCTTCACTTCTCGTAACTTTGGGGAAAGTTTAGCTGCACGGCTCTCGGAGGACCCAGAAAGTCGAGTCGGTGGTCGGCTGTTGGTTCTGCAGGAATGTCGCAGAAAGAAAGACCAAAGTTTTATCGGGAGGAGGTCAACAAGACGATATGGGAAGTCCCGGAGCGCTACCAAAACCTGTCGCCGGTGGGCTCTGGCGCCTACGGATCCGTGTGGTAAATGACTTTATGTGTCTATGGAGCCTCGTAGTCTCCTAAACTTAACCTCCATTCATTTAGACGAGGCCTGTGCTGCAGAGGCTAAAGTTAGGTTAGCTTGTCCTGATTGTTAGCTAGCAAGGTGGAGCCACGATGTTCCTTTACACAAGAAAACTTGTTGACACACTTGTTTTTAACCTCTCTAAATGCTTCTATGTTCACACGAGCTTCTCACTCACAGTAACGATACACAGTCTTTATCTGATCAGTGTGCACGTTAACATCACAGAATTGACTAATCAATCGGTATTTGTGAGTAAGTTACACGGTGCAACTGCAGATTGTGTTCCCAGAGGCTACATTACGGATGTTTGAGTTTACATTATTAGTTTAAAATCCCACCTACAGGTGACGTAATCCGAGTAAAGTTTAGATGAGGTTAACAGATAATGATGTTGTTGGTTGGTGCTGATGTGTTTGGGTAAGATCTCGAGAACACATATTACATACACTTTATATGGATGATGTGACAATATTTCTATTATGTGTGCTTTCATATAAATATTCAACATAATCTGATGCTAGTAAACATTACTAGTAGTGTTGAGTCAAAAAGAGAGAGGCTGATCATTTCATGAAAACAATAGTAAATCAGAAACATTTTTTGATTGTTTTGTAGACTAGAAGTAATCTAGTAAGGGAAACATATCTGCTTCCAGTGTCTTAAATGTAAGGATTTATTGGGTTTCTTTTTTATATAATTGAAAATTTCCGTTTTTCATATATTTTATTGACCAAATGATGATAATTCTGTTATTTGTAAAAAACAAGAGACCGATAATGAAAATTCATTGTTATTTGCAGCCCTAGTACAGATAGTTGTCCAATAAGACAGGTAACTTTCCTGGTCATACAAATCAAAATATCAATAACGTTTCCAACCTTAATGAAAACACCTTTGAGGCAGCTCTAAAGTCAATGTTTTTTTTTTTTTTACTATGAACTCATTTGCAGCACAGATTCAGTTGCATTTACAGGGGAGATGGGATCGTGCCTATTGATTTCTTATTATTTTTAGAAGACCTATCTGCCTGTGAGGTGGATTCCCTTAATGCTGCTTCGGGGCGAAAGTGTAGGCTTTCATAGGATAGACCCTGTGCATTCGTCTGGTGATTAAATACGTTGTGCTGAAACTATCTAGGACACAACATGGTCAGCGGTACACTTGATTTAGTGGGCAGATGTTTGTTTTGCAAATGGAAGCGGACAGCTGTGCTGTTGCTGGGCAATAGGATAATCTGTTGCTGGTCAGATTACTGTTTGCTCACCAGTGCATTGACTGTGATTCTTTTTTTCTTCTCTAAACAGTACACTGGCCTATAATGTCAGTGTTTACATGACGGTCTAAGTTTACTGTGAACCCGTTAACCCTGTGATTAATGGACAACCTGCTTTATCTACTGAGCCACAATATTAGCCAGATCTAGTTGGTTTTAGTGCCGTTTCAGGAATAACTGCGCCTGAAAATGCATATCACATGACCATTCACATACACCGGGCATGCGCGTGCTGGATGCAAAGTCCTCCAATAAAAGCTGGCCTCCTGCACATGTAGGCGGTCGTAGCATTACAATATGCAGAATTGAACTGCACAATAGCTGCTAGCATAGACAACAAGGTCAGCAACGCCTGTAATTATCCATGTTGCAATTAACCTCAGGTAGTCGAGCCTGATGTTGTTTGTTTTCCTCCGTGAAAGGATTACATGATAAGGGTTTGACATACCAGGGAAGGACAAGTCGTGACTGATGAGAGACTGGTGCAGAAACCCATGTTCGCGTCTTCATAATGTTTCAAAGGTTTCCGTTTTCTCTCCGTCCAAACTAATACGCAACCCTGGAGTTTTCAAACTAAAACAGCGTCAGCAGCTTTTTCAAACGTCTCCGTTTTAGCGTTTCTAAAGCACAGCAGTAGTGTGGACGCTAGGTAGCAAGACAGCTTAGTTAAGCCTTTTTTTAAAGGAAAACGTATCCGAGTGGATGTGTCCTGAGAATATGGTTAGGTGAGCTGAGCAGGAGGAAGTGTCGGGTTTGGCTGAGAGACAGTCAAGATAAGAGTGCAGGACAGACTGCAGGCAGGCCTGCTCCCAATCTGCTGAGCGATGACATTTTCTGCTGATGTCGCCCTTTTATGCAACCTTCGGCAGCTCTTACTGCACATAATTTGGTTTTGAGAGCAAACATCTGCCTAAAAAATGACAAGCTTGCTTTTTTATTTTAAGCTCATGTCTGGTGTGTAGATTCTATTTATATATAAGTTCATGCTGACAAAAAGTGTTATGTGTGTGAGTAACGTCACAGTGACCAGTGTGTTATTACTGATGAGATTCAAGCTTACACGTTAGTCCACTTTTTTTTTTTTTTCCACAGTTCTGCATATGACACGACGATTGGTATGGAGGTAGCTGTGAAGAAGCTCTCCCGGCCATTTCAGTCCATCATCCATGCCAAGAGAACATACAGAGAGCTGCGGTTGCTGAAGCACATGAAACATGAAAATGTGAGCGGACTTGTTTCTCTTCCCTTTTTATTGTGTCAGATGGTGAACAGTCATAAATGACAAGGTTGTTTTATTTGCATATGCAACGCCACACAATGCGTTTGCTTATTATGTTTCCTATTTACTTATACTTTTTTGTTGTTGTTGCTTCCCATTGTTCTCTGTTTTGTTAACTCTGCATTGGTTATTATATGTTTGCAGGTGATTGGCCTCCTAGATGTCTTCAGCCCCGCTACTAGTCTGAAGGAATTCACTGATGTGTAAGTCGAATGTGTTCCCATGTTCACCCTCAGCAACGTTTGTGCGTGATTTAGAAACGGTGTTCAACAAACTGCAGCCTACAGTTTTGCAGCAGCAGACAATCCTAGCTGTGGCTGGGAAGCACCTGGAGACTGGCCAGCTGACTAAACACACTGGAACATTGCTTAGACTGTACACTCTGTTAGTTATTCACCAGAGTTATTTCACCACCAGCTTCCTTCCCTTTGTTCTCTGCTCTCTGGCTTTGTGAAAACCATTGCTGTTGAACATTGCTGTCGAACAGGTTATTATTTAGTGATTTTACAGTTCGTTTAAAAATGGGAAGTGGACAGCTAGACGGTGACTAAATCCTCCCCTGTCATGTGTGGAATGTCTCCCTCTCTTCTCTGCACACTGACGAACTCAAGATTGTGAGGGATTTCAGTCAACACCCGACATAAGAATGTGTCTCAACTAAATACTTCAGTCAGATCTCACTTATGATTTTATACATTCCTGTACGGAAAATGATCCCTCATGTTTTGACTCATCTTAACTATTTTGGAGCAGTTTGGGAGTGGGCAGTGTCGCACTTGCTTCATGTCGGAGGCCTTGCTCAACAGCATGGACATGTTTATTTCTAATACCCAACATTCAAGGAAACAGGCTTCAGACATTTACAGCCGGGGCTGATGCAGAGAAGTGAATTATGCAGAAGTCTTTTTCCTCAGTCATGTCCCCGAATAGCAGCTTGTCTGCATGATCCTTTCTAAGTTTACATGACGATGTCATGAAAGTGATGGAAGGAGAAGTAGCTCTGTGAATGTTTTTTTTTTTTTTTTTTAAATAGGGAATTTGACACGTCAAAGTCTGTAGCGTTCATGAGGAGTACTACTGCATATGTGAACAAAGATGTATGAAGCCCTTTGTGACTCCAGATGGAGCTGCGCAAAGTCTGATAAACTGCCTCAAGTGAAGTCAGTTTTTTTTGTTTTGACCCCTCTGGGTTACAAACATGTATAAACAGGCTCCAGATGTCGACAAGAAAGAAGAAGGCAAAAAAAAAAAAAATACATCTCTGGTTTTGCTGTATTGATTTGATCCTTATTTTAATGTCTATCGTGAGTCCGACGTAATTATAGAAGTACAATGCTGAATGGGTGGAGTGCTCTTTTAATGTGCAGAAAACATTAACATAAATCAAAGTGGATCAATCATTTGCAGAGAGACATACTTGAACTTCTTCCTCATACGTTGAGCGGTGGTTTGCTGTTTGAAATGAAGAGTCGCCACCAGATTAGCATAATGTCATGGATGACTGAAGGCCATGCAACATCACACATGCAGATGTGTGTGAGACTGCTCTCTTGTAAATGGAAGGAAAAGAGGGGCAGAGTAAAGGTGGGTGGTGTGGAGCTTCTCTTACACTACATAAGACGAATAAATGTGGAGTCACGGTCTGTCGTGAAATATGGATCTCTTCATCCGTACATCTGCTGGAAAGTTGGAAACGTTCTGCATGCATTATGATATCCAGGAAAAATCTCAGATATGCTTTAAGTATGGCTCCTCTTGGCTCTAAAAATACCGGCTGAGTCACAGCGCTGTGGTAAGTCTCCTCAGAGCTCCTGTTTCTATAGGAGAGAGGAAAACAGAGGTCACTATTTATATCCCTTTTTTTTTTTTCCAAGGCGGGTGAACTTTGTAGAGTGACTGTGCCCCTGTCTGCTGATGAGAACTGGCTCCAGTGTAACCAGGTGCTATTTTAAGGCCTCGCTCTCTGTGCTCTGTGAGAATAGAAGAGTATTCATGAAGAGCGGTATTTGGTTGAGCAGCAGACTGACGAAGCAGCACATGGCTTTGTGTACTTTGGCTGCAGCTCTCGCCTTCCTTCACAAGTGCCATTTGGGCACTTTAAACAACTCTGGGATTAGATTTGAGTCCTTCGCTGATGCAGCTCCATTAAGCCCATTTATGCGGGCGTGTTGTTAGGTGACGTTTCATTTGTGCAGGGCTTGGCCTTTCAGTGCCTCTGAAAAGAAGTGAGGGTGAAAAGAAGCAGCAGCTAAACCGGTTTAAGCTCACATAACCATATGGGAGTTTTAGATTGCAAACAAACAATGGAAAATGAGTTTGAAGTGCAAATACAGTAATTTATCCATCTGGCTTATGATGAAATGAGAAAACATTGACATGCCTTCTGATATTTGTATCTGTTTCTGCTTTTGTGATTGGCAGGTATCTTGTGACTCACTTAATGGGGGCGGATCTCAACAACATAGTGAAATGTCAGAAGCTCACAGATGACCATGTGCAGTTCCTCATATACCAGATCCTCAGAGGGTTAAAGGTGAGCTTTTAGAGAAACGGCTGTTTGTTTGCCAAGAGTTAGGTGAGCAGACTGATAACACACCCAGGTATCAGAGTATTAATGATCTCATCTAACTCACAGCAAATTAGCTTATTTCCCAAATTGTTCGATGAATCAATGCTTCCTACATTGTGCTGCCTCTGACATAACATGTTGTGGAAAATCAATACACCTTTAAACTGACGATGTGATTTAATGCACATGATCTCTTCCATCTCTCTACAGTATATCCACTCAGCAGACATCATTCACAGAGTAAGTGCCATGTTTTTTTGTTTGTCTGACAAATGTCACTGTGTCTCTGACCCTGATCAAATTTACAAAAAACAGTGTGTCCGGGTTTATGACATCTTGGTCCTGTGCTTTGTACAAACACTGAAGGCAAGTCATAAACGGGACCTTTTACTTTTACATGGCGTTAATGATGTAAGGCTTCCATTCTAATATTAACAAAGGGACAGATTTGTTTTCAATCATGAACAGTAGAGATTAAGATTTCCGATGTTAGAATTGCACTGAATTACATTTTGGCTTTTTGTTTTTTCAGGATTTGAAACCAAGTAATCTGGCGGTGAATGAAGACTGTGAGCTGAAGGTCAGTGAACAGCTGCTCTCGCATGTAAAACATGAACAAAAACATGTAAACGTGAGTCCCCAAATGTGAATATTTTACAAACAAACTGTTTTTTTGCTCTTCAATTGCTCCCAGATTCTGGACTTTGGTTTGGCGCGGCACACTGACGATGAGATGACCGGCTATGTGGCCACTCGTTGGTACCGCGCCCCAGAGATCATGCTGAACTGGATGCATTACAACATGACAGGTAGATGGGATTTAAATAATCTTCCCCAGTGACTTTTTCACCGATACGTCATAATCTTAATGCTTGTGTTGCTGCTTTTCTGTCTTTCAGTTGATATTTGGTCAGTGGGCTGCATAATGGCAGAACTTCTCACTGGAAAAACTCTGTTTCCTGGAACTGACCGTATCCTTTTCATTTGAGAGTACAGCACATTAGGAACCTCAACAGCTGGAGACACTCTGAGATGTCATTTGCATAACAAATCAAACGGGTTGTGGAAGTACTGATTTATGATGTTTTTCACCAGCGCAGTAGGAGAGACTGATCTGCAATGCTTGTTTCTGTTGAAACATGATCCTGCCTGAGGCGTTTATAGTATTGGAAATGTAACAGACACACACACACACAGTACCTGTTTTCACACTCCCCTCTGGCTTGACACATGCCCTTTACTGCAATGTTTCCACTGGCGTGCTTTAACTCTTCCTACACCGTCAGTATGCATCGTTGGCTCCGGTCCACTCTCTGCCTGCACCCCTGCCAGTATTTGCACGGATCTATCAATCTTTGCTCAAGATTAAGTTTACCCCCCGGTTGTAAGTTAAGTGTACAACAGGGCTGTGTGCTGCCTCCACTTTTGTTTTTCGTAACTTGTCCGCAGATTACGTTTCAAATACTTTCTCTAACCTGTACAAACTTGCCTGCAGTTTGTTTTCTTCTTTTTGCCTCATCTCATGTGTGAAATATAAAGTAAACATAGTGTGAACGTTTATGTCGAAGATGTTTTTTTAAGTGGCATAAGTTTCACAAGAAGGATGAAGACTAACGGGTCAGATTACAAGTTCTGCCATGTCCAGTATCTGGTCTTCCTTTACCGTGTGCCGGTAGACATTGATCAGTTGAAGCTAATCATGCTGCTCGTCGGAACACCAGGGCCCGAGCTCTTGACGAAAATATCTTCAGATTCTGTGAGTTCAAAAAGACACCCAAGGTTTTTCCTCTAACCAGTTTTCTGCTCTGAACGCGCCACTCTTTTGTGCAATAACTTGGAGTATCTGCTGCCTAACTGACGGCATGTTTTCCAGCCTTCAGCTTTGTGGTTTTGAGACTTGCTTTCTGCCTCTTTTTAATTGGGTGAATTAAGTTTGTCTGTCATGATCTCATTGTGACACAGGTGATTGAGCTCTGCCTTCTACTGATTGACTGTAATGCAAAGTATTGTGTTGTGTCTTTCCTCTAAATCTCAACTTTTATTGTCACATTTTGCTTCGAAGCTTGAAGTTTGCTTTTCAACATAACATTGTAGTGCATCTCGAAGTTTAGTCGCACAGTGTTCGATTGAAAAAGCAGCTTCTTAACTTACTCTGCTCTGTCGCTATACTGCCCTTGACACAAGCTTCATAGATATAAACCAGCTTCAGCAGATAATGCGTCTAACAGGAACGCCCCCAGCATCTCTAATAAACAGGATGCCCAGCCATGAGGTGAGCCGGATCCACAGTTACTTTCTTTAGACCAGACAGTAAGGCCGGACGGGAGGACAGTCGGACATGCTGACGTAAATTTCTCTTTGCTTTTAAAGCGACACAGCTGTTGGCTTAATATCCTATATTTATCCAGAGTGTTACCCCCAAAATGGTTCCATACTTACCGTAATATTTGGTGCCAAGATTGAACTAAGTTCATCTTTATTTAAGGCAATGAAGGTGGCCACACTGATGAAAGCATCACTCAGTGAGACTAGTGGGGTGTAAGGAGCAGCACGGCCACCAGGGCTCACTACCGGGGATTTAGTAGTTTAGTTTAATCCTGGTGATTGTGCGTCTGACATGCTCGCTGCATGCGATTGTGATTACCAGAAGTGTCTCTGAACTTGTGTGGTAAAGGCATTTGTGTGCTTGCCATTGTACCCTGGTAGCGTTAAACATGCACACTGTGCAGTAGCTAGGCTTACTGTTGGTGATACTGTGGTTACTAACAGCACTTTCTGTATGAAAGTTGCTTTGTTCTGTGGGTTTCTTTCTGTTTTTGTTGCACATTTCTTAAAACTTGCTGTCTTGCTTCTCTCAATATATTTTTGTGTTATTTTTATGTTAATTTTCATTCCAAACAATAGAATAATTTGCAACCTTCATTTTCTTTTTACAGGATATTTGGGGCTCATTAATACCCGTTTTTAATTTAAAAAAAGTCTTAGGTTTTAATGAATGTGGTTATTGAAAATGAAAATTGGATATTTAAAAAAGTAATTATACAAACACTTTGTCAAACTGTTTAAACAGAGAAGAAGACAAAGAGAGCCACACCACAATGTTTTTCTTTGACACCTTGCTGTTGGAGGTTTTTGATAGAGTATAGTCATAAATAGATAGAAATGTAAGAAGTGAGCAGTAATTATTTGATGCAGGTGGATACATTGATCAGAATCGGTAGCATAGAAAAAAATACACGTGAGCATTAGGAAACAGACGGTACTGAATGTAGGCAACATTTTGCTGCTGGTAGGAGCTGACATTGGATTTCCTTTGTGCATTTTTGCAGGCCAGAAACTACATCAGTTCCTTGGCAAACATGCCCAAGAGGAACTTTGCTGATGTGTTCATTGGTGCCAACCCACAAGGTAATACAAGACGTTTGCTCTATTGTGTTGTGGTGCCAGCTCTGCAAAACTGCAATTAAAATATATCTATATCTATAGATATAGATATATATATATATATCTATCTATCTCTCTCCAATAAATAGTTTTATAGTATAATAGTTTTGCCTTTTGTTTAAAATAAACTTTGGTCAAACCTCTAAAAAAAACTACATGACAGGATATATTCTAGATGGTCTGAGATTTAGCTCTGTTCCCATGTTGACATGTTTTTAAAGCTGTGGACCTTCTGGAGAAAATGCTGGTTCTGGATACAGACAAGCGGATAACAGCGTCCGAGGCTCTGGCTCACCCCTACTTCGCTCAGTACCACGACCCAGACGACGAGCCTGAGGCCGAGCCGTACGACCAGAGCTTTGAGAGCCGCGAGCTGGAGATCGAAGAGTGGAAACGTACGTCATTATTCTACACAAAAATATCTAATACTGTAAAAAAGAACAACAAAGAAGCATGTTCAAGTATCGATGTATGCCGTACTGACGGTATAGAATCCCGGATATGTTTTGAACATTTTTTTTCTAATTCTTGCAGGATTAACCTACGAGGCGCTGTGTACTTTTGAGCCACCTGTCTTTGATGACGACATGGAGTAACGCCACATCGAGTCCTGCCTCCGACAAGTTGTAACAATCCCGAACATGTTCATTAGTGCAGTTATTATTTTTATTTATGAACCACTAATGTTGATGAACTGTTGCTGGGAAATGGCAATTCTTGCCGATAGCTGAAATCATTTTATAGTTAACTATTATTATTTTTTTAAATATAGACTTTGATGACTTGTCACTGTGACACTGAGATGCTGAATCACCTGGACCTATAGCTGTGTTACTTTGTGTTTTTAAATTTGCTATTGAATAACTTATGAATAAGCTTCTGTGTCCATCAATTGAAAAAGGAATATGCTAGTCTACCACTTGCCCTGCCAAGCTGTCACAAACAGCACTGAGTCACATGGATTTGTAAAATGATTCAGTTGTCATAATGGTTCCTATATTTAACATGACATAACTCTGAAGGGTTTCATATTGACAGAAGTAGATTTGATGTTTTTAGGTATTTGAGAATGTGCCTGCTCTGTGTAGTCGCTGACCTTCAGTGCTCACCAATGGAATTTCACACATTTTAATGTTTATTTTGATAGTTTAGATGCTCTGTGAGACTCTTATACATATTTTGGCTACACAGCGAAATCTGAGCCTTCACTGTTTAAGGACAGTGCCATTCAACAACAAACAATATTCATGGGTACAGCTCTACTCAAAACGATGTAAATATCTGTGCGTTATGTTTTAATCTCTGTTTTTATCTTAGCTTGTGAAGCAATCACTTTTATTGTGTACATCAGTTAAAATCGTGTGCGTTTGCGAGTGTGTGTTGTTGGTTTACAGGAATTAAATGGTGTCATGCGAAAACTTCAAGTAGAAATACTGCTTAAATGTGTAAAAGAGGGATCTCCGATGTATTTATACTTTGTGGAGGTGGTATTTATGAACGACAATTGAAAGATCCCGCAAACTATTTTCAGTCCAGCAGAGTAACTTCTATCTTCAGTCCTTTGTTTAACAAAATAAAGACTTATTTTTAAGAGACCTAGGTTTTTTTTATTTCCTGTTTTATCACCAGTGCCAATCCTTGACTGAATTGATGTGAATGGTTTGACCAAGAGGACAATGACATGCACATTTATTTTGCATTTTGAAAATGATGTATCATAATATGTTACCTCATTTACTTAATGGATATTTTGACTTTCTCTCAAGCACCTACGAGGATGACTTGGGCAGTATCTGTCCTGTTCATGAGCAAAGTACTGATATCCAGAAAAACTGCTGAATATAACTGAAAACCTTAGATTGGCTGTTCAATTGCAAACATGAGAGACAAAAAAACAACTTTGGTTTTTGCTTTTTGAAGAAGTCTTGAGTGCACTGTGCCTCCTCGATGTACAGGAGCAGGGATGGCTCTGTGCTCGAGCAGTACTTTTTAAATGGAAAATATATTTCTACATCTACAGTACATCTCTTGAGTCAAATGCCTATTAAGCCACAATTTCATAACAAGATGCTGACAAACTTATACTAAAATCAAAACAGATATATTGTTTCGACACACGTCGGACAAAAGTTGTTTTTACAGTAATTTAAAACTTCCTAGATTACTGTTTGTGACATTTGTATATATCTTAGTCACAACTTTTTTTTTTAACCAAAGATGGAGAATCTGCTCCTGCCTATCATTATTGTGCATATTTTTTACACAACCACCTGGCAGCTTGTGTGTGATACAAATGTAATCTATTATCTCAGTAAATATCAAAATGTAACACTGGCTATAACAGTGTCTGTGTTGCCCTGCAGCGTCAGTGTTTCATTAAAAACAATGGTTTGGTGCTCAGGTGGAGACATCACTTAGGGAAGCTCCCCCTTGAGCATACGAACCACTGCGCACGCGCGGAACATTCGATCACTGGTGGTGTAGCTAACAGCTAAGCTACGAATCCAGCCAACATGGAGAGAAAAGGTAAGTCTTTACACCGACACGCCGTGCACCGTATGAGTAACGTTAGCCCGTGCGTGTGTTGACACTGCAGTGGATGTTCCTCTGCGGTCACAAAGGTAAAGAGGAGCCGAGCTTGCATACATACGGAGGGGGTTTAATTGAACGCGTCTGTCACGCACTGTTGAGCTGGAGCCGAGCTACGCTAGCTTTCTAGACATTAGCTTCACCGGGACATGTCAGGATTATGTAGCTGCGTTTAGCTTTCTAGCGCTGTCCGTTTTTACACACACAACCTAAAACACCCACACCAGTAACCAGCCGGGTTTGCGTGTACACTGACCAGAGTGAAATGACTTCATGTCACACTGTCGTTGGTCTTTTAGAAGAACGGTTAGGTTGGTAGCCTAGTGATGTACGTTAGCTAACGTAACTCAACTGCTTCCAGTGTCTAACCGGGGGACTGGTGGATGCACCTGAATTGTGATTTATCTAGATATTGATAGTTGCTAATATGACTTAGTAATACACTGCATAATGACCGCGTCTACGAGCAGTCGGGTGAGATAACGTTAGTTGTGTCCTTTGCCTCAGACAGTTTCAATCTTTTTTTTGTCTCGAGTGTCAAGTAGACGACAAACGGCAACCAGACAATGGCAAGATAAATGGTTTCTCTTGACAGTTCTGGCACTCCAGGCGAGGAAGAAGAGGGGGAAAGCAAAGAAGACCAGCAAAAAGTGAGTTTATTTTTTCTTTGGTATATGACAGCCTCAGGCATGCATTATGTCCGCTCAGTCAGAGGTGGTGGGCTGTGGCATTTTGAACGTGCATGGTCCAGACGTTTAAATGTGAACCTGACATAAGGTCCTTGACTGCATGCTTGCACTTATTTTGGTCTGTGCAATCCATTGATAAAAACGTGTAAGGCTAATTTAACTTTCCATATTTGCTTGGGGTTCAAAGTGAGGGCATTGGCATCATTCATTTGGACCTTTATTCTAATGAGATGTAAGCTGCCTGTATATAATGTGCTGTATATAGTGCCTGAAATAAGCCACCCGAAGGCCGTGTCCTACCATTAAAAATAGTTTATAAATGATTGTATTAAGATGATGCAACATTCAGGGCTCACATTATACAACTCAAGCGTTGATATCTCTACTGATTATTTTGATGCACCTAACAATTTACTAATCATGCCATCAGTGGCAGCCTCCATAGTGTTGCATAACGGCCTGTGCTATATTTAAAACCAGAGAATGAAGAAGCCCACATCAGCCCACCGAAGCATGGTGTTTCACTGAAAACGGCACTATTGCAGATACCGAACTCCCGGCAGTGTTCTCTTCATGGCTGAAACAGGCATGGGTATTGTGCAGAAGAATCGTATGATATACTAAAAAGCTAAATATAACTTAAAGCTGTGTCGTCGCATGCCACAGTTCTTATTGCATGATGAGCACCATGCCTATGGAGGAGCACTACTTCAGTCTAAGACATGGCGTACTGTACAACCTATAGTTCTGAATCAGTTGTCAAATATCAGTTTAATTTAAGCCTCTTAGGGAAAACGTACATCAATTACATGTTTTAGTTTTGTCTGGCTTCACATTTAAGCAATGATATTCCTTTGGTTCTTCCTTTTTTATTCATTCTTTGATAATCAGTGAAGAGCTGTGAATGAATATGACAATTGAGATTAATTATTACCAATTTTGTCTGCCTCCTACAAATGTGTTGTTAATTATAGCAATAATGCAAGAGTAGTGAATGCGTTTCAAATGGGGAAAAATGGCATTCAAAAGTCTGAATTTAGTAATTAACCGCAGCTGTTTGTTCCTTCATTGGTGCACAAGCATGCCTTTAAACCTCTCTGCTTCAAATAGCCGTGTCAGGCATGAATAAGTAGGTTGTAGATTATGTGAAAAGCAGCGGCTCATTTGTGAGACACTACAGAGACACTACAGACGAGTTTAGGAATTTATTTTAATTTGATCTCGGCTCTCTTGTCTCCCATGGTGATGAGCAGCCTTAATCTGCGGTGTAGAGGAAGTAACATCAGGCTGTTTGGCTTTCAAGTTAATATCAGGAACTGAACTGTTGTGAGTGTGTTGTTCTGTGAAGAGAGAGGTCAACTTCAAAGCCCGATGCTTTTTCTTACACATTATCCAGAATCCTCGATTGAGCCCGACTGTAACGCCAGAATGGCTGTTTTTTTAATTTCTCATTTGAAGAGTTGTAACTTGTCTGACTAAATTAATAACACATTAAATGAGGTTAATCTCATTAAAAATGGACTTACCCCTTATGAAGATCTTTATATATTCAGATTATACACATTTACCCTCGGCCCTCCTGTCGGTCAGTGATGCCAACGTTGATAAATTAACTGCAATTATAGTCAAAACACCAGTAACTACAATCCAAATATTTAATATACACATATATTCAAGTGCTGATGCCAAACAATAATAATCTGTCAATTTCTTTAGGTTCAATCTATAAAACTTGTATTCTTCATGCTCTTTTTGTAATATCATAATTTGTCTTCTGTGATTTGCTCTAAATGTTCTTTGTCTCTTCCATCTGACAACCCCACATAAGACAATAATTGAGCTTTGTAATTGCTGCTTATACCTAATCTCTTCCTTATTGATGATGAATATATTTTTTCTTCCAGCTGCAGTTATTTGACCCTGATCCCTGTAATTTGTTCTAGACTATCTACCAATACCAGACGAGTCCTGGTTCATGTTATATTTTCATAAACGATACAGTTGCACCGTTCACACTCATCCTAAAAATAGGACTAAATTCAGATTAGTAAAGCCATTCTTACTTAGACATGCGTTGACGGCTGCATAGCGATACATTATATTTCTTTCAATGCCTCCTATATGTTGTGTGATATCTGTGGAAGGACAGATATCAGAAGTGTCTGTGGAACTGTTATAGCAGGAAGATTTCACAGCGTCTCTTCATCTCCAGCATCAACAGTATAGAAGTTCAAATGGTCCTCCTAAATTATTATTTAATTACTCAAGGTGACTATTTGCTCGCTTACAGTCTCCGTCAATTTGCAAGCTGTTGTGTTTTTGTTTGTGAATACTGTATTTGTTTCTAGCAGATAAGGATCTGTTCAAATTGGCTTCAACTCTAATCTCGCAGATTAGCTCCGAGTGCCGCCCACCAGCACTGACAGTGAGAGTAATTATACAAACACTGTCGATGCTGCTTATGACGTACGCCCTTTCTTCCCCTCTGGCTGGTTGACGTAAAACACAACACCGGTGCGCCAGCACGGAAAAGACGCTGCAGACTCCAGTATACTGCAAAAATACAGACAGCATTCCCTGTCAGCCTCGAGGCTTAATCAGCATTGTGTGAACTCGTTTGGCAAGGGCTGGACTTCAAAAGACTTTAAATAATCAGTACAAGTCCTACACTACAGGTTTAAATGACTTTTGTTCCCAGTCAGGAAGTGATACGTAAGATACTCTGTTCCTAATGCGGTCTGAGATGGTTTTTGTGCATGTGTTTGCTCATCAGGCAACCAGTCAATTCCAGAGCTCGACAGCTTCTCCAGCACGAAGCCTCGCCTCAGGAGCCCGAGGAACCTGAGGAGATCCTCGGCTCTGATGACGAGGAGCAGGAGGACCCCAACGACTACTGCAAAGGCCAGTCCCGTCTTATTTAGCATGCTTACCTGCTAACAAACTTCCCCAATAACTGAGTTATGACAGTTTATTGCTTTAATTTATCTAAGATACCCAGTTAAGATATTTGTATGACAGTCACAATAAAAATAGTTTTGCCTTTTATTAGTTCGTTGACTGACCGTCTGAATTGTATTCGACGTGCATTTTCCCCTCTTCTAGGCGGCTACCACCATGTGAAAGTAGGAGACCTTTACAATGGAAAATACCATGTAATCCGGAAGCTGGGCTGGGGGCACTTCTCCACCGTGTGGCTCGCCTGGGACATCCAGTACGAGAAACACTTTACTGCATATTCTTACTGTACAGTTTTGTTTTTGAGGCCTGAAGTTGGCTACACATTCAGTTGCAGCTGACTCGGTGCTTCCTGTTAGAGA